CGTATTTTGTTACGGCCTCCCTTGACGTAAATATGTACTATGTGAGGAAGTGAATCATCGATCTTCCTTGCATATACATTGCCAATGTTCAGAGACCTTGAAAGAAATGATAAGCATGGGACTTTGGAGTTTGGACACAACATCTCAAACTCGCGATGTCAATATATTGCGGTGCTTCTAATCCGGAGACTACGAAATATTTCAAAATGTGTATCACAGCAATGTAACTAATACGCTAACCTTGAATTTGTCACAAATGAAGCATTATATAAGCATATATACAAAATATCTTGATAACTTTCCATTGCTTTGTCCTAGACTAGAGTTATCTAAAATTTGGTTGTATGCTTTTCGTAATAAAACAATAAATTCGCTTAAACAAACATTTTCAACGTTTAACTTCATGACGAATCTGATCTAAAACGAAAACTATTGTAAGGCCCTATGCGCAAACGGATTGGGCGCGGCACAGTCTGCGCAGAGATAGCTATATTAAATGAATATTAATATTTCATAACAGTAAATGAATCCGTGGGGTTACAAAATCACAATTAAAGTAATTTTATTTTACACTCAGAATAAACACGTTTACCAATATAATTATAATTTACAAAAATTAAATTTAATATTTAGGAATTAGAATAAGCGTGGGGCCTATGACAGTGTGGGACCCATTGCAGCCAGACGTATTGCACTGTACTTACCTATCCAGGGAAAAGACGTTGTCACAACAGGCCGATGAAATCTGAAAGCAAAGTTAGAATTATATAAATAATCAACTATTGAGTTTGCATAAACATTGATAATGATGAGGGAGAAAGTCATAAACAACCATTGATTTCGTGAATCATCAATAGCCTAGGTCCTAGGACGCTGAAACGTTCAGCAATGCTTTCGCATGATATTAGTTTTTACTTACCTCGTATATACGGGGGGTGGAGTGTACCAGACTTTGAGCGAGGGTTAAAACTATGTACCCTTTCAATAAGTCTATCGAGCACTGACTTCGTCGTTTGAAATGATTAATGCGTAAGTAATTGCTTTTATACAACTATTTATATATTGTGGACCGGCGTACATGACGTTACTTGGATGATTCTTTAATTGCTGTCTTTATAAATACATAAGTCACCAGAAAACTTTACATTTCGACGCATGTACGAATATCCGCTCCCCGGCTTCTCAGATAAAAAAAAACTTTCTATTGGAGACAATCATACTTTAGGGTTTTCAAGTGGAAGTTTTAAAGCGAATGATGCTTTACAATTTTCAGAAACTGGGACGTAAGTATCATTCTTTTATGTTAATAAAGTAGTTGGACCAATAAAGAATCTCCAATAGTCGAGTGTCGAATAAACCAGTTGATTTATAATTTTTCAGCTGACACCAAATGGATAGAACATAAATAACTTGTGCATCTAATGGAATTATCCAATATGATGCAATAATATCGACAGGAAGACGTGTGTTTATTCGTTAGCAACATATTCATCTTTTAGTGATACTTGTATGTTTAGTGAAACTTATTTTTTAAATGTTGTTCATTGGGATTTGTGAGTGAAATAGCTTTCTGCGTTTGGCAATGTTGATAATGGTGTTATGCAAACATTCAATTTTTAGATCGTTCCTAATCGGTAAATCTGTGGGTGGAGTAACTTTACAATGCACTTCTAATAGTCAGTATGTGTCAGCTCCGTCTGACAATGGAGATCTTATATTTGTACCGAGGGAAGAGATGGCTACTTCATGGGATATAAAGATTATGTCAGTGGTGTTGAAAAAAGATGACGACAGCTTCATCTTTCCCGCTTTATCACCGAGAAAAAAGAGGGCTTGAAAGTATAAGGCTGGGCCCAACTATATGATGGAGAAATAATTTTCTCCAAATGATGATGATAAAAAATTATACTGTTACCCTGAATAAATCACGAACGTACGAACATTTGACTCAAATTTCATTCGTATTAATAATTACTAATCAAGTTACATACAATTTTATGCATAAATTTTCAAGCATTTTCGCTATTTATCCTCATGTGAACAATTTGTCAATATACTCATGCAACCAAATATTGTAATAAACAAATTGTTTGATATCAGACTGAACAGGAATATATTTTCCTCTACTACGGCGATTGGGCTGAATGAGATGATGAGATCGAAACGACAACATTCGAGTATAAAACAGACCAAATTTAAATAGTTGTTCGCGCGATGCCTTCAATTAAAAATTGTATCTGGATTTGGTTGCACTTCGACCGCTTGAATTTTGTATTAACTCATTGCATCGCCGATCGAAATGATGACGCGTCAATCATTATTTTGAACTATATATTGTATGCAGGGGGATATGGAGATAATTATAAAAACATTCGTCACGTGATGAGGAGCAGGTAACTTCACACAGTAAACAACATTCACCAGTAACTGTAGTTATATATTTACATATGAGCTACAGAAGAAAAAATTGAAATTCAATCTAATCCCCGAAATCCCAGATAACAATTAACCCCTTTCTCATAAAGAAAAACACGAATTATTTTTTTTGTCTATGAGGCTCGTTAAAAAATAAATATTTCATACACAAAAAACCGCATGATGTTTGCATTTGAATTTGACGAAGCGATAAAGTTGGCAAAAGTTGCTTTTTTTGCCTGTTGCCACCGAACGACGCTCGAGCGCACCTATATTACGTCAATACGTAATGATCGTACGTTGTTGCGTAACTACATCGTGTCGCCGTGCGTGTCGTCGATATCGCGCCTCCAGCTGTGCGTCGCGGTCAACGTCATAAGATGTGCCGCCAGTACTTATCATATCGCTTATGCGATTCTTTTTGATAGCTTATGCGATTCTTTTTCCCCTGCACCATGTGCAGAAATAAATCACATAAAAATACATAATCGTTGACAGCACCTTATCATTGTCTACTGTTCCTTAATTTCTTGTTTATTTTCATTCACCCAAGTTTCTTTTATTTTTCTACGTTTTATATTTTCTAGTGTTTGTGCCATATACAATTGGTCACCGCATCATTGTTGTGTTTTATATATTTTGAGGTGAGGACCAAATAATAATCGCCATATGCCGTTTAACATTATTATTGTGGTATCGCTTTTACCCAACTTTTTGTCCATCACTTTGTTCTCTTTGCTGGCGCCGCCATGTTAATTAGCTATAACTCACCGACAAATGAAGATATAATATTTATTTTGGAATCGATGGAAAGATATTCCAACAGTGCACAAATTTTCTAACGAGTACTTTGCTCTATCTTGCATCTACATATACAGCCAACTCATATACATATAGCGCCAAGGTCATATACAGCCAACTCATACACATGAAGCGCCAATTCAATATGCATATACAGCAAACCTATGAACATATAGATCAAACCAGATATGCATATACAGCTAGTTTACAGTAGACTTAGCGATTTCGTCGAGTCCGAGCTTTACTGCGTATAGTGTTGGTACGTTAGTGTTGTTCTATTGTAAACTAACAAAATGTCTGAATTGTAAGTTTGATATCAATATAGTGAAACGGTAGTGTTCAAAACAGTTGCGCTATCTTTGTAATTACATTACTCTAATCGTACCGTAATAATGCAAATACCGCAGAAAGAGTTTATGCTATTGGTAATGCGCTTTTCAATAGTGGCGGCTGAAATTTTGAAGACTTTGCTGGGCATTTCGATAAGGGCAGCTCAACTGATTATTTTCACTTTTTGGACCGTAATCTAACTCGCGTGAGAATTTAAACAAGATTAAATGCAACACAATTTCCACAAAATGTGTTCCCCAGAGGGGGTATTGGACAATAGGTGGCAATTACGATCCGAGTATGAACCCCGAAATGAGATAACGAACATAGAAAATCTTTTCCCTTCGACTTCTCCCAAGTACGTGATTACATGTTTGTGTTCACTGCCTGCCAGACATCTCCAGAAATATCTGCCTCCCAGTTTGAACTCAAAAATAAAATACCGAAAAAAAAACGAACTGTCCACATTCGACTTTTCTCCAATTACTTGGTTACATGTTCGCGTTCATTGCATATCCCAAACATGACGATACCAAATATTCGGCCTTAAATTATTTCGGGCTCATGAAGTAATCTCTTGCATGCAAGAACTATCGTGCGTAACAGAATTAGACCAAAAACATGCCGCGACTTGCAGTTAGAAATACCCCTTGTGGTTTGCAGCATTGCGTAAACAGATTTTATGGTTTTGAAGACTGACGTTTGGATGTAATTTATTATTTAAAGTTGAAGATGTCTTCGCCTTCTTCATTTGTCTTACTTTAATTTCATGGTAAGGTATAAATGATCAAGACAATTGGGACGATACTTATATATTGCTTGTTTTGCTATCACAACGCGCAATTTAAAACTCTTTCATTGTTCGCGTATTGTCGCGGACAACTGATTTCGATTTTACTGGAAACGAAAGGAGGTGATCAATCACCCAAACAGATTCCGTTTGATGTTGAAACACCAAAATATTTCACATGATTAAGGCTATATATAAGTACAAATGTTGATGTATGTTCATTAGCAATATGTACGTTTTATTTGCAATTTTTTTGCAGTGATGTATTACTTGAAGGATGATTTCGTGTTTATAAATGAAACTAGTTAATTTTAAATGTGCGTTTTTGCTCGGCGATCTTATTTTAGCATCATGCCCCAATGGGGGTGTATGCAAGAGAGTGAAACATCTTCTAAAAGTACTGATTAATATTTTCTTAATTTAACTACCTTCGTCGCAGTTTATATGGAACTTGAAAAAAAAATTACATTTCCAGGTCTACTTGTTTCCTTGTTAAATATAACAAAATTTTTCGATAGCGTCAATATTTGACTCTTAGAAGTTGATTCCGAAGTTACGAAACAAGTGAAAAAGAAGTGTATTCTTTACAAGAAGTCGCGTTAAGAATGGATGTGTCTGGTTACAATAGAATAACATGTTTTTATTTATTTTGTATTAACACAAAGTCTAGATAGACATTTATTTATAATAAATTGTGTTTGCAATAATAGTGATTTTTGATACTCGCGCAATGGTCATGAACCACGCAGCTGAGGATGTTGAAGCTGAACAGTTTGGTGTTGCTGATTTTACCGCGTTTGCGGGTTGGTATTTTGTTTTATGTCAATTCCTAGTTTATAATAATTATACATTTGAAGTCATGTACGATAAATAGTAAATAAATTTTAAGAGTGAAATTGCTGTAAACCGTGAATTTACTTCTGGTTTCAACTAGGAGGAAAATTAAATCTAGCATCAGTCATAATTTTAAGAGCAGTTATGTTTTTGTATGTACGAACTAATTTTCTGTGAAATTTAATACCTTATACACTAACTCAAACATATACTTATTTATAGGATTGTCATTGGTTTCTGTGGTTGTTGGAATATATTGTGCGGTGAGAGACAGAAATACCACAACGACAGAAAATTACTATTTTGGAAACAGGTCAATGTCACCGGTGAGTGAAACATATATTAAAACATATCTTTTCCGGATATTGCGATTTTTGTATATATTCTTATATACCATGCTAATCTCAGAAGGCAATATTTGAACGTGACAAAATCCACCACAGTGGGCTTATTATTCGTCAAGTGTAATCAGAGTTGGGGACTGACTTGTCATGTAATATGATGGGAAAATTACCTGTTTTGATACCCTATACTTTTAAGTATCTGCAGTTATGGATATTTTTGTCTGGCTTCATTAACTTGGGAAGTGTATTTTGTCGATACGGCTGAATTATATTTGAGAATCGCAAAAATATTTTTAGGCCCATTGCTCTCTTATTTAGCTTTTTTGTCTGTTGGCTTCATAAGAAGTTAAATATAGGAGAAAACTTGCACAAACGTGCGAAGTACTCATTTGATTTCACATTTCCGTGATAGTTTCTTTCCTTTTTAGGAATTGCAAAAAGTTTTTTTGGGACCAAGACACAATGTCTTTGGGATGTAAAAAAGGATACATTTTTGCAAATTATATTTGTAAATACAAGAATACTAATATCTACTAGTCCGACGGGACTAGACATTTGACTCAAATTTGTATGGTAATACTTGGAGGGCACACAATCATATGATATCCGGCACAATTCTTTTGAAAATTGGTTGAAATCTTACTGACATTGAGGTGGCCCTATTTTTTGGCCAATTAATCTTTAGTGTTCATATATATGAACATCTCTCTCTTAGCTTAATTAATATTTTTATAATTTTTAGCGCTTTCTTTTGATAGCTATATAACAAGTAATAAGCGTTTTTTGTCGTTTCTTTAATAAAACTACTATTTTTAGATACCACTTGGTTTCTCCATGGCTGTTTCATTCATATCAGCCATTACTATGATGGGCACACCAGTAGAAGTTTATTTATTTGGCGCAGTAATATCATGGGTTGTTGTCGGTAATATTGTTGCCGTCACTTTCGCCTGCACTTACTTTGTTCCTCTATTCTATAAATTGAAGATTTCAAGCGTTTACGAGGTAAAATCGTTTGGCTGAGTTTTGAAGTTATTATTAGGACTAATTAAAATGCCTAGTCGTTTTACATATACAAATATGCATTTCCCAGTAAGAAAAGCTTATGTGGTGGTACGTCAACAATTACTGACTGTTATCGGATAATTTTCAATGTGCCTCTCTAATTTCATTGTCCACAAGTTTCGTTACCCATCTGTTACCTATATTACATTAGCGTAGGTTGGGCGCGGTATTAGATAATGCGATATAGTCCTGGGGGGAAAATATCATGTAATGTTTTATCGTTTTTCCATTTTTAGTATTTAGAATTGCGTTATGATCGAAAAGTTCGCATATGCTGCTCCTCTGTCAGCGTCATCATGATGGTGAGTAACGATCTCCAACGTTTTTTCTTATCCCCTTCCACAGATTTACTATCTATAATCCCGATATACTAGACCAGGGGTTCTCAAACTTTTGGTGTTGCGGAGCCCCTGAAAAGGTTGACTAGTATTCGCGGAGCCCCAGAAGAAATGTTGAAATTGTAGCTTTCCGATAAATATTCCTGAGTAAGTTAAAAGTACTTAACTTAATTTAAATGCTAAACCTTTTTTAATGGGGTCAATACAAGTCATAAATAAATCAAAATTTCAAAGATAAATTATATATACTCTTACTAAAGCTGTAAATTTGACACTTGACAAACATATTAATAAACTAGGGGTCGAATCTTTTCCCTTTTGACATTTTCGGAAGACTTAAAAGGCCCCTAATAACGTGCGCGATTGCATTTTGTTACAATCACCGATAGTTTTCGTCATCATGGCATGTTTTTAAACATCTTTACGCCGGTGTTTATTCTCCCTAAATCAAAAATTTTCTTCGGCATATACATGTATTGTTCCACAATGACGACGATAATTGCTTTTTGTTCTCGTGGGGAATTATGAGTTCAATGTGAAAAACGCTTTTGTAGGTATTGTAAATCACAAAATTTGGTGTAATGTTAGGTTTTTTTGGTTATTCATCGTATAGTAACTGCGAAATCGAAACACAGTCAATTGTGTGCGCGATTTACCTTTTTTTTATTCTGAAACTACCGACGGAGCCGCATGCATTAAAATAAATTTCAATCATATTTTGCCCAGATCTTGTGATTTTTTAAACGGCGATATCTTGCTTAATAATAATTTCGAGTGCAAAAGAACAAATCAAGTTTGACAAATTCCAGGATCGCAAAAATACGACTCCAATTTATTTATAGTTGGCAGTTTATCACGTATTTTATGTTATTTTAGAATAGTATTCTTTCATTTTAGTAATCCTAATAGTAATCTCGAATGAAACTTGAGTAACTATGAGTACAATTGAATTATTACGACAAGACACTTTAAATGCTCGCATCGGCCATACATTGAATATTTTACGCAACAGAAATCTCGTTATCCGTTTTTTATAATCGCAAAGAATGTTGCGCGGAAATTTCCGATTCAAATCTCCACCTCTTGAGAATCCTGGCTGCGCTCCAGCTTATAAATAATATTTTCATTTTTTAATTGCGTCTCTTTGCCATATTTCGAGGCTATATTGTTGTCACATTTTATCAAAGTTGTTATTGCTTCTTTGAACAGTTACAAAACTAGTCATTATTTTGAAAAGTAATCGAATAGCTCGCGGAGCCCCTGGGTTTCTCTCGCGGAGCCCTGGGGCTCCGTACGGAGCACTTTGAGAACCTATGGTCTAGTACATAGGTTCTCAAAGTGCTCCGTACGGAAATATGGCAAAGAGACGGAATTAAAAAATGACATTATTTATAAGCTGGAACGCAGCCAGGATTCTCAAGAGGTGGGGATTTGCGCGCAACATTCTTTGCGATTATAAAAAACGGATAACGAGATTTCTGTTGCGTAAAATATTCAATGTATGGCCGATGCGAGCATTTAAAGTGTCTTGTCGTAATAATTCAATTGTACTCATAGTTACTCAAGTTTCATTTGAGATTACTATTAGGATTACTAAAATGAAAGAATACTATTCTAAAAATTCATAAAATACGTGATAAACTGCCAACTATAAATAAATTGGAGTCGTATTTTTGCGATCTTGGAATTTGTCAAACTTGATTTGTTCTTTTGCACTCGAGATTATTATTAAGCAAGATATCGTCGTCTAAAAAATCACAAGATCTGGGCAAAATACGATTGGACTTTATTTTAATGCATGCGGCTCCGTCGGTAGTTTCAGAATAAAAAAAGGTAAATCGCGCACACAATTGACTGTGTTTCGATTTCGCAGTTACTATATACGATGAATAAATATTTTAGAATGCCGTTTTTCAATTGAGAAATTTGGGTTGCGGATTTACCTCTTTATTATTAATTATTATTTTTAGCATTTCGTCGCCGATGACTATATGGTAACATGTTTTTCACATTGAATTCATAATTCCCCACGAGAACAAAAAAGCAATTATCGTCGTCATTGTGGAACAATACATGTATATGCCGAAGAAAAGTTTTGATTTAGAGAGAGTAAACACCGGCATAAAGATGTTTAAAAACATGCCATGCTGACGAAAACTATCGGTGATTGTAACAAAATGCAATCGCGCACGTTATTAGCGGCCTTTTAAGTCTTCCGTAAATGTCAGAAGGGAAAAGATTCGACCCCTAGTTTATTAATATGTTTGTCAAGTGTCAAATTTACAGCTTTAGTAAGAGTATATATAATTTATCTTTGAAATTTTGACTTATTTAAGACTTGCATTAACCGCATTAAAAAAAGGTTTAGCATTTAAATCAAGTTAAGTACTTTTAACTTACTCAGGAATATTTATCGGAAAGCTACAATTTTAACATTTCGTTTGGGGCTCCGCGAATAATAGTCACCCTCTTCAGGGGCTCCGCAACACCAAAAGTTTGAGAACCCCTGTACTAGACGATATATATATTTCAGGTATTGTTTTTCAAATCTCTAGAATAAACTCTACCGACCACCGACCAGTGCTCTTGATTTGCCGAAGTGTTCTGCGTGAATTACTTAACCCGGATGTTTTTTTCGCATTTTAGTCAAATAACTATAAATTGACAATTTGTCGAATAAGTGTCATTCCTGAGCAAATTTATAAATTAATCATGTTTTTTTTAGATATTTTACATGGGCTTCGCTATCTACATCCCAGCATTAGCTCTGAACGCAGTAACGCCTCTGGATATAAAATGGACGATTGTTTTAACCAGTTTAGTTTGCACGTTCTACACCACTCTGGTAATAATTTATATAAACGTATGTTAGTTAAACTTTCAACTCTTTATAGGGCAATAAATTGAAAATAGAAACGGTGACATGCCAAAGAAATTTGTGTGTCAAATATGAAATAGCATTGTGAGGATAGTAACAATTCACAATCACATATATATAATGTAAGTATTGAGCTATCGAGTATAATCATTACTTATAGCGATTGTGTAACCACCACAGAACCGAAATGTTACACGATCTGAAGCTTGGTGATAATTTGGACTTTAACCCGAACTGCATACATATACTCACATTCTAAAAAGGCTAGTCCAAAAATATACCAATCATGTTTTCATCATGAATTGTAGCTGGAGATGAACCATGACCCCATTTCAAACCGGTGAGTTCCAAACAACACAACAAGTATTATTTCACATTGTTTTCAGCGACTTAGAGCAACCTGATCTAAATGTAACCATGCTTGCATGCATTCGTCATATTGGGAATATATAATAATTGTTTGTTGCGAATATTCGGCAATCACTCGAACAAAACCCTATAACCTATGTTTCCCAGACGTGAAGAAATTCGTATAAAGACGTCACTTCATTAACGTCATACATACCAAAAGGTTGAAAATATTTGTTTCACAAGCGCACGCACAATATATAAGAATGATTCATATTATCAATTTGTCTTGTATTCGTTCAAAAATCAAACAACAGCGAAACAATAAGGCAAGATATGAAGGTGAAGGTGATGCGCCGCGATACCTGTTTGATTGAGCATGTCCCCTAGATTCAGGAAAAACCTCATAATTAAACACTAATTTGCTTGATCATACAAAAAATGCGATAAGATCAATTTACTTGAAAAGACAATTTTACAACATGAACAACAACCATTCAACAAACAACAAAACGATCTACAGACTCCGCTATATTATCCCACCCCTAGTATTACCTTCGTTATTCTAATTTTCGCCGTTGTTTAACTTAAAAATCTTCATTTTTATTTGATTCACTGTGAGCTGTCGTTCTCTATCGTCAATTTGTCGTTACTGTGTCAATTTGGCACATCCTTCAAATATACTACGTTATTTTAATAACGTGTTATATATAATATATTTTTTCTACATGTTACATATATTTTGTCAGTTCCTATTATGAGATTCCTTAGAACAAAGTAGACTATCTTCAATTTCATTCATGAATTTCTCATTATAACAGGGTGGATTCAAAGCTGTTGTTTGGACCGATGTTGTTCAATCCGGAGTAATGTTTATTGGATCCTTAGCTTTATTAATACAAGGAATTATTTTGGTTGGCGGACCAACAGATGTTTGGGACGCAATTAACAGAGGCGGGAGACTGAACATATTCAAGTGAGAAAAAACTTATTTTTTAATTTGTCTATCTCGCTCTTGTCGATAATATCTTCATAATCATATTTTGAGCAAAATCCTTATTTTTCAGAGTTACATTTGATCCAACGATTCGCAGCTCACTATTTTCTGTTTTAGTCGGACACAGCATGTTACAGAGTGCTGCGACATGTACTAACCAGGCAATGGTTCAGAGAGTCGTCTCCTGTAATTCCGTCAAAAATGCAAGAAAGTAGGAAAATTATTCGTTCTTTGCGTTTGAGAAAAAATATGCCGAATCGTTCCTAATTTTTATTGCGTTTAACAGAGCTCTGATAGCGTTCATCTTTCCTTCGTCTATCATCTTTTTATTGTCGGTAGCAAACGGATGTGTTTTGTACGCGTATTTTGAAGATTGCGATCCAATTCTTTCAAGGAAAATTGCAAAGCACGATCAATCGATTCCGTATATGATGATGAAAACTTTCCGTCACGTTCCTGGCATGGCAGGAGTATTTGTTGCAGCAGCATGTAGTGGGACTCTGAGGTATTTAGATATTGATGAAAATAAAAGATGTAAAATATTGATTTTTCCGTTTATTCGAAACCATTCATGTTGAAAACTCAATTTCAATAACCAGATTGTAATATACCAATGATACCCTTATACCTGACAGTGAAATGTAACGAGGTGAAAACCTTAATGGATTGTTAATATATACTCCAAACAACCTGGACTGGCATCTAACCGACTTTGTCTTGAGCACAATTCAAAATGTTGTGTGTCCGACTAAGGCAACAATGCGTTTGTGGTGATATTGATATCAAATTAATTGGTCGCTTAAAATACATAGCAAATGGTGCAGTTCTGGCTCGACATTCGACAAGAATTGTGACAAGTTTTGATTTCAAGGTATGATAAGTGGTTTACTAACTCGGAATTTGTCTCCAGTACAGTGTCAACTGGAATCAATTCACTATCTGTTATTATTCTTCATGATTATATTTTTCAAATCAAGAAAAATCTTACACCGAGGCAGAAGCTTACCATGGGAAAATTCTGTGGTAAGAATAAAGTAAAGTTCTGTAATTTCAGTATAGTTTGTTTATTCAAAGTTACTTATACACACCTGTTGGCCAATATCCAAGTAATTAAATGTAGTACAGGGTGACACAAAAAGAAGGCATTTGAATCGTTTTCTAAAGAGAACCTGTTTTTTGCACAAAGCGCCCCCAATTACTGAAACTTACAATCATACACATACAGAAGCTCAAGTGCTAAATAAATTTTCATTCATCTATTTTTATAAAAGTAATTGAAAAATTTATGAGTTACGTTTTTGTGGGGTCACTCTGTCATTCTAAAACGTTACTTGGTGTTGGTCATTCAAGATAAATCCAGCGATTTAACGATCGACTAATGCTGATTGCATCCTCTGTTCTATACATGTGATAAATGGGATCGACTCGATCTAACTAAAAATCCTTCCGTCCGATTGCCAATTCTCTTGTAGGAATTCTTTATCATAGTCAGTGACAGTATCAAAATCTTTTTCCACATTACAGCAATCATAATCGGGTGCATCGTGACAGTGATTGCGTATATAACAGGACACTTAGGATCAACAACTATACAAATAGCAACGTCAACATTTGGTGCATTTGGAGGTCCAATTTTTGGGGTCTTCCTGGCAGGAATGTTTTTGCCGAAAACTAACGTCAAGGTGACACCAAACAACTTTGTAAAAATTGGGTTCGAATTAGGAAAGAGTCATTTTCTCGTCACAAATTTTTGAATTAATCTTGTATTTTGTGAAAATGTTTAACGTTGTTACTGTTAATTTAATTTTACAAGAATCATCGAAAAATCGAATGCATCAAGTATAAAGTGGGAAACCATAATTTAAACTTCTTGTTATTCTTATTTCGATAAAACTCGTCAAAATATGTTGTGCAAATTATCAAATATGCTTTCATTCAATACAGTTTAAGTCTAAGATGATATAACTAAGCCTTGCCGCAACATAAGAATAATTGAATTCGGTAATATTTAGACATAATATTGATTGGTTTTTTTCCATCCATAAAATAGTAAATAAATTTTATATTTTGCATGAGTATGTGGGCGACAATATAACAATTTCCTAGGCTTTGAGTTATCTGATAACTAAACTTCGAAATAAAATTGCATATATAATTAAAAAATTTGGACAAAAAAAGGTAATTCTAATTAAAATAAAAATAAATTTAATCAGTTTCGTTTTCTGCCAATTCCTTTAACTAAAGTATTATTTGGGGTACTTTGGTAACCTCAGTTAAAGCCTCTTGTTATTCAAAATTGTTGTAAATATTTCTTTTGCGAGGTTTTCCCAATGTTATTATTTAGTTATGGTTCACACCAAAAGTTCGCGAAATCGGATTGCTCAAATTCCCCATTGTTGACTTAGACGGTGCCGATGAGTAATTTATAAAAAATAATTGATGTACCTTAGCCACAAGCATGAAATTTCTTGATAAAACATGAATAAGCAAACACAGTGAAAAAGTGAAAAATTCAAATTTTTGTTTCATGTATGGGGGGAATGTTTCGAATGGTACATTTGACTAATTAGCATGCTTGACACGGCAATTGCCAAAGGAGAAAAATGATTGATCTTTGGAAAGATCAGTCTTTGGTCTTTCTCGAGCACGATAAAATCCTTTAGCAAAATTTGCTATAAGCCGCTTTGTGGTATTTGCATTGAATAGAATTACCTCTTTCCAAAATTCACGGTATAATCATTTTTTATTTCCCTACTTTAAAACCATAAATATAAACACTTTGTTACACTTACCAAATATTATCGAACACGAAGTGGACCTATGATGGATCGTTTTTCTAAATTATTATTGTTGATGACGGGAAAAAATCCTTGTCCTCAACTAATGGGCCAATTCATTTGAAACTTTCCGTATTTGAGCATGGAAGAAGTTGCTAGCAGCCTATTACTTATATGTTGTAAAATCATTTTCTCTGAGTCCGGTGGGAACAGATATTTTACCAAACATTCTACTGATTCATTTCAATTGAAGGGAATCTGATGAAAGACGATACCTTCCATTTTGCATTGTTCGACCGCCTCTGTATTGCTTGTCGCAAACTTGGTGCTCTTAGGCCTTAGCGAGTCTTTTTTCCTTATATTTGAGCATTGAACTCTTGTTACTGTTTACGATTAGATTTGAAATGCGCTTTTTCCCGTTTTGGAATTAAAAAATCATATTTACAGGGCGTATTGTCGGGATTTGTCCTTGGTTCCATTCTCAGCCTCTGGATGGCTATAGGAGCAGTTTTACATGGTTTGTCGCCAGAGAAAGCACAAATGCTTCCAATTTCAACTGACGCTTGTAGAGTTGATGGTTTTATCAATAACACAACAACGATAAACAATATTCATCCTACCACGATTGGTAACAATGCCATTTCAGAAGAAATCAAGCACGATAGGTAAGACGTTGTTGTTGGCTGGACTGTAACCCCCTGTTTGAGCATGAAATCATTCATACTACTCTATATTTTAAATCGTTTATTTAATGGTAAAAAAAACTGAAAATTTGCCATAAACATTTAATTATGGTAGATTTTGAGCAACTTTATAAAGCTGTAAATGTAATCTCGACGTAATGTGGACTGTGGTGTGATGCGACATGTCGTGCAATATTTGTCACCGCACATTTAGCAATTGACCACATATATAATATAGTTTTTAAGAAACAATCGAAAAGCTTATAGATTTCTGTATTTTTTAGCTTTTGTTTTGTTATAAGTGATAACTTACGCTACATCCTTGAATTGGGTTTCGTAGTGATGTTTTATTCTACGTATTTGGTAGACTTGTTTGAATATTTTGGCTCTTGTAACTGATGTTAAATCAGGCTTATCACTGAGAATGTTTTTGAAGATTTCATCCTTGTTCCCCAGTAAAAATAAATTTTAAGATGAAAAAATTCAGTGAATTAAAATTAAATCAGTTTGATGATTTCTACCAAATTTTGTAAGTGAAAAATATTTTTGAATGAAGATGGTGTGCAATTAACTGTATATATTTATAGGCCACACATCGCAGACACCTTTTATTCAATATCTTTCCTCTATTATGGATTATTTGGCGCAAGTTGGACAATTCTGATCACCGTCATAGCGTCATACATCACAGGTAACGTTATACCATTGAAAAAGTTTTGGTAATTTGAACGCGATAATGATTTTACACAACATGATTATTTCAAGGCATATCAATTTGTTTGAATTTTGAATACCATATTGATATACTGGCACTTCTTCGATAATTGTTTTTTTCAATTTGAATAGGGGTCTGGATAATGACGTTTGTATCAAATTCAGAATATATATAAGATTTTCCTTCTTCTTCTTGATCAGTATTCGTGTGATTGTGAGCATGGTTTATTATGACTAAACTAACGGGAAGCAAAGGCTGATATGTGTACTGTATATACAAATATGAGATGCAATAAATGAAGTGGAAAAGCCGTGCAGCGAAAATGATATATATATATATAGTATCCTACCAGAATACATCATAAAAACTTTTTTCACTACCTGTTGCTCTATTTTTAGTCCATATTCAACCAAAATTTATCAAACCAAATCGTATGTCATTTTAATATATTTCTAGTAAAATGCGTGACTTGCAAATTCCGATATAATTCTGGGCCAAAATTTTTAATATGGGATCGCATGTTACCAATTCATAGTTATTTTTATACTTTCTTCTTGTTCGTTTTAGGAAACAACATTCCAGAAAAAGCTAATCCAATTTTGTTCGTTCCTTTAATCGATAATCAGAAGTTACCCGGAAAAGTTCTTGAGTTTTTCCGGTGTGGAGTTCCGAATGCTGATCAATACAAAATTGAATCCAAAGGATCGGATACTGCTCTGGTGCTCCTTTCAAAAACTAATGATGATTACATTAATCAGAGGTCGTATTTTGCCGAAAATGAATCTTAAATATTAATCAGTATTCATTAATATTATTGTTTGTTTCATTTATCATTTCAATCATAGTGCCAATTGTTCAACTTCTGTTTCACAAAAGTCAATTTACTTTTTTTGCTTATACCAAACATAGGGCATATGCAAGTAAATTAATAAATGTAACTCAAGTTATGTAAGGCTTGGGCTTTATTTAGAATACTTGATAAATATGATACACCACGATAAATACACTTAGTATTCAAAATTGTTACGGGTTACGATTTAGCCTATTAAAATCGATTTGATTAAGTAGGAATTGATGATTTGCTGTCAATTTAACCAAAATGAATCTAGCAACAAGATTTATAATTTTACGTCAGTATAGTATACGGTATTCTTGTTAGGACTATTTTGATTTCCTACACAATCGAATTGTGCTTGAGCTTGGAATTATACATTTGCTTATAAATATTTCACAGGAATATAGCGAGATTTTACGAACTGGATGGTCATTTCAGTCACATTATATTATAATACGAAAAAAGTTTTATTCGAATATGAAATATTCGACACAGGATTATTAAATTTGTTTCGCCACATATTTTCATTGATATGAAAGTAACGTTACGCATTCTGTTGGTACTAATCAACCGAGTTATGCAAATCACCCTGATATTTTGGAAGATACTGTATAGCAAGACTTGTATAGAGCTGTGGCGGTGCCAGCCATTCCAGCCATTAGCCTGGAATTTGACTTTGGCAAGCCAACACTGGCTCGCTGAGTTGTTAGGGACATGTCCGTATTTAAACGGCTGGGCGGTTCACGAGTTTTATTCGAGAAAAAGTTGTTCCCAGAGGGCAACATCACTCACGTAACTATATCGCAATGATAGGTCATAAAAAGATCAACAAGGAATTTATTCACGGTTGGGCCGAATGAATGAATTACGTGAGCGTAAACAATAAGTCTTCGCCTTTACCAAACAATAGAACGTAAATATGAAGAGTATAATAGTCGTCAAACTCAAACGCTTCAAAGGTAAATCACCATAGAGAGTTCTGTCTTGCCATGGAAAGCTTTCTATTGTATATGATTGTTAGATATAGGGTGATTTCTCGCATCTGTCAGTCATGTTAAATAGTGTAAATCGTGAGAAATTACGGGTCTCGTATTTATCTTGATATGCAGCTATACGGCAATATAATGTGAAAGTGTAGACGCTTGACTACACAGTAAAAATTATATATATCAAGCTAGCAGGTTTACTAGAGTTGCTCAATACTAGCATATTTAGCTTATGGAAAAGATATTGAACCGGGGACCAATCAAGCTTTGAACTGAAGACAGTTGAATATTTGAGGACTGGTTACATGATACAAGGGCTATCTATGATCCCCGTTACCCTACCAGCTTGTTATCTCTCTTTCAAAATGCAAAAGGTTTTGAAACTGAAACGATTAGCCGAACGCAAATTAAGTTTTATTTTAAGAAAAAGATATTCATATCCCAATATTTGACTAATATATATATATTACATTTATCATTATGGTAGACATAACATTTTCCGACACGGCACTATAAATTTTAGACACGTAGCTACAAATATAAATTACTACCACTGAAATTCGCTGTCATAATTCACATATTAAAAATCGACACAGTCATCTTCAAAATCAGTACTTTTGATGTGCATTTTTTATTTTTATAATAAATATTGAATAATCCATTACAAAACTCACAAATAACTCGTTTATAGATTAGAATATTAGTTGTCAGGATTAAAATATTTAATGTTATCAAGGTTTTTACTCTCTTAAATTTTATAATTATATCTACCTAACGTGTTTCATCTATTATTTCCCTTTACCTTTCTCCGAATCCCTTAGCTGTTTTGCATAAAAGATAAAAAATGGAAACAACAAAATCTTCTAATTACCGGAATGACCTGATGAAAGGGAGGATTCGCGCAGAAAAGAAGTCGTCATCGAATATTGTTCGGATATTTGTCAGTTCAACATTTTCAGGTATAAAAGATGGATGTGTGATAAAACATGGATTGAAACCTTTTCAAATTGGTTTTATTCTGCCCGTATACCGAAGCGGTAAAAATGTCGAGAAGGTCCACGTTACTAGATTAATGCAATTGGATGCCTTAAATTTGCAATGCATGTTGCATTTTCCTATAAGTGAAATTGTTCATTTTCGCCTTTTCAAATGCCGGTTTACCCGTAGTAAAAAGATTCGTAAGCGATCTGCATATTTCTGGTAAGGTTTAGCAATGCGATACGCTTTTCTTTGTGTAAATTTGTTCTAATAAAGATTGCTTGAGTATTCGGATTAGTGATAAAGGTTATTGCATTGCTCAGGTCATTGTAATGACGAGTAACGCGCTATACGAACTACATGCGAATTTATTGATATACGAGTATATATGTCATTGAATATTCGACGGCACAGGACTTAGGTTATAATCAAACACATGTAGTCAATGCCGGAATATTTATTTCCAATGCTATTGCAGACCTGACGGATGAGAGGAATGTACTTTACACTCATGCCTACCCAGAATTGAGGAACTTCTGTCAAAGTCTTGGACTTGAGTTTCACGCAATTGACATGAGATGGGGAGTCAGAGATACTGCATCTGTTGATCACTCAACGACTGCTCTCTGTTTACTTGAAGTTCAAAACTGCAAACGGATTTCTTTGGGTCCTTATTTTGTGGTATGTACAAATAATCAAAATAGTAAATAATTATTTTGTTTCCGTGTTAATTGACGACAAAAAATAAAATAAAAATTTATGGCCTGTTTCGACGCGACTTGCGAATGAGTAATAATCAACATTCCATTACGAAAAAGGAGTTTCTATTTTCAACAAGCACGCAAAGTATTCCTTACCGTTCGACTCAAAAAGGCAGAGTTGTATGAGGAATTTAAAGATAGAGCATGTTATCGGACGCAACTAAACATCACAAATAACATTGTCCTTCAGGTATTCTTTGGAAACCGATACGGATATCAACCTCTTCCTAATTCAATACCGGATACAGTGTTTACGCAGCTTCATCATGTTGCCATTGAACTGGGAATGGACAAAGGTGGTTTATTAGACAAATGGTGAGTCTTATATCTGGGAACCATCCGCGTAGACCAAACATTTGTTCAATTTAATTTTATTCAAATAAATAAATACTGTTTTAAAGATTAAGGTAGAAATATATAATAAAGCTTCTTCGACATGTTATAATTTATTAATAAGCCAACGCACAAGTAACAAGTTATAGGAAGCTTTTGTTTGAATGATGACAAACTAAATTAGGTGAGCTATTCTGAATGCGCTTGCATACGTAACTATTACTCACTAATATCAGTATATTTACTTAGTTCTTTTTATCGTTGCAGGTATAAACTTGATACCAATAGTATTCCCCATGCAAGAATACTTGAACCAATCACAAAAATTTACTCGCATTTTGATGACATCACAAAGGAATTTGAAAAGGAAAGAGAGGCTGATAGACAAGGATGGAATACGACCTTCAAAGAACTGTCAACAGTCATCAAAGACACGGCCAATATCGCTGCAGACCGAGGGCTAGTCCCTCGGGACGTTAAAGCGGGATTTTCCAAATCAAGTAATTCTTATTTAAACAGTATATAATAACGACCACGTGGTATTTCCATTTATAATATTAAAGCGTTTTCCGAAGCAAGAGAGAACTGCTCAAGTATATATGGACAGAATGTCCAATAACTCGCAGCAGTACCGGTGGCCCAAGCAAATTACAAATAAAAATCCATTATCTGGTCATTCAAAAGTACCAAACCGGAATTGCAAATTCAGTATCACTGTCATCAGTAATTCACACCGGTACTGGTAAGGCCGTCTTAAAAAAGTGAGCATCGGCTGTTTCGAAAAAGGCGGCTGGTCTATTGCAATGCCACGAGGAGGTGCACTATACGTGAAATAGCAAAATTTTTAGGGAAATATCGAGCATCATAGGACTCGGAGAAAATTTGACAAGATAAAAGTGATAGAATCCAAGCGGCAATAACCATCTATAAGTACTGAAGCTTTTTACCGATCAGGCTGACAGTTGCGAGAAAAGCGTTTTTATTTTACAACAGTAATAAAGTCCAATGTACAAAGTATACAAAGTTGATATCTTCAAAGTGTAAATTTACGTCACCATTGTTGATGATGCCACAGGCGTTCATAACCCCTGTCTATCATTAAAATGCTTTTTAAACTTTAAATTTGTGCGTCAAATTCCAAAACCTTCGAAGGATTTGTAGAAGAAAATTGTTTGGGAGTAAGTATTTATATCCGATAACGTCATAATTAGCTCTTTAGTCCAATGTAACGTCATAGTTGCTCTTCAAAACTTCTTTTCCGTTATTGTGCGGAGAATAAGTCACCGTCAATGCCTATCCCTACTGCTTCTTGTCGATACACACAGACGAGAATATTTCAAAACAAGTTTTACTATTCAGGTGTCAGGTGTATTCTTCTACTGACACTTTTTCTTTGTTAGAAAGTTCAATTAATTAATCGGTTCCGAGAATGAATTTCATCCGTATTTTGTACAGTCACGCAGATGGAAATAGAAGAAGGACTACAGAATCGTGAAGGGGGATTTCTAGCATACAACCGTGAAATATCAGATTTGCTAAAACACACTGGTGAATCAAAAGCAGGGATCTATGTAGATATGATAGACGGAGAAGACACAATAGACAAAGAAAGACAAGTATATAAAACTGAATCTTTTTTTAAAGCAGACATTTTTTTATGGTGTTCATTTCTGCAAAGCATTACCGTACTTTTCATCTAGTCACCGATTTGAGATGAAAAGAGTATTTTTTAGGCTTTGCTCTCTAGACCTAATTATTCATCTATTTGTCGTTAATTAATGTTATATTTTCTATAAATCTTTAATATAACTATTACTATGTGCATTCAGAAACTATATGTATTTTCAGAAACTGTTAAAAAATCTGAAGAAAAATGTAAAACAACGCACTGAAGGTAAAAAGATGTTCAAAAAATATGATGTAACATTTAAGCAATTGGAAGCAGTTTATTCTGGTGAGTTGGTCAATGCTAAACAGAAGCTATTCTATAAACCCTACCTGACTTTGGATTCGAATATAATTTGGCTTAGAACTGAATTTTTTATGCTTAAAATATTGATTTACTTAGATGCTGAAGATGTAGGTAAAGGAAAGTATTTAGACGTCCTGAGTGGAGATTTTGTATCAGACATCAAAAGAATTATTGTGAAATGTATGGAGGACAAAAAACAACATGCAAAAATGTTGATGGCTGATGACTCACTTTTAGAAGAAGTTGGTCACCATGCAAATTTTGAAGTTTTGAAAACCACAGATTTCTGTGGACGAGAACAATTGATTGGTAGGTTGGACAGAACGCTGGTTATGCTTTTGCTTAACTGTGAATATTGTCAAAGAGCAATCTGGAAATCATATTGAATAAGCTACATATTAAACTGTATATAGGTGATGAATCGTGAATGTTATAGAACGGTATACGATTATGGTTTCATAATATTTTTTTTTTCGAATGGGATGCTATCAATATGGCAATGCTTACTTGGGTCCGTTGTGCTGCCTTTCTGTGACGTTTTGTCGCGTTTATTTGGAATTGAGTTGTCGCTAGGATAACAAAATCTATTTTTGTTACCTGTGAATTGAAAACGTTTACTTTTCAGGCGAAATATCTGATCTCATTAACGATCCGCACAATCAGCATCCCATAGTATTGGTTGGAAGTTCTGGGAGTGGAAAAACATCACTCATGGCAAAATTAGTCGAGAAAGAACGAAATCGTTCATCGGAATCTTTCGTTGTATACCGGTTCCTAGGGACTTCACCAGATTCATCTAACATCCATAAATTGCTTACGGTTAGTAATTGAAATAACGCTATTAATGTAGCACTATACTGACTTAAATTTCATTTGCAGGTCATAAAAACTGATTACAAAAGTAACTGTTTTTTTTTCAAATGTTTTTTTATTATTTTTTCGCTCATTTTTTATTTCAATTTATACCGACATAAAACGTATATATATAAATCTTTTTTCACTAGTAATACGGTTTTTATATTATTATAGTAAAAAAAAGGTAAACTATAATGTTAGATTCTCCTTTACTTTATTTCAGAGTCTGATATTGCAAATATCCACAGCATATGGAGAAGATTTACCACCGTCATTCAGGCTTCAAAACTTTGCCGATGTTGTCGAGTTATTTTCCAAGCTTTTAAAGGACATTTCCAAACTTATAGAGAAAAACAATGACAGCCGAACATTGACGATATTTTTAGATTCTATAGATCAATTATCAATTGAAGACGGTGCTCACAGGCAAGTAAACGCATGCAACTTTTTTACCGGTAGTTTATTGTGTTTTAGAATTTTAGATTCATGTAGGAAAGTTATAATTGAAATACAGGATTTTATTCTGTAAATCTCGTATTTTTGTAAGTAAATACAGATTAATCAACCAGAGCTGTGTGTGACACAGGGTTTTAATAAGTTTGACTCCCACTTCAGCTCTGAAAATATTAAATTTTGACAACAGAAGAATTGGCTTGTGCAATCAACCCCTTCCAATAGACTGATATGTTTAGTAAACATTAGCTTTTTGAGTTTGTGTTTGAAATTTTCACAATGAAAAGTCTTAAATTCTGACTCTGACAAAGTTAGAATTTCGACTCCCGACTTTTAATATACGACTCCAGCTCCACTGGAACATAATGAAATCCGACACCACGGCGCTGTTATGCACATTGTACATATAAATTTTCAATACCGACTTCTACAAATACAGGATGACATGGTTGCCAAAGATCATTTCAGGGAATGTAAGAGTTGTAATATCTTCACTCCCAGAGCCGGACTTTGAAATCGTTCCAACAATGAGGAAATATGTTCCTGAATCAAACATGAAGAACGTTAACAGCTTAAATGTTGAAACAGCAAAGGAAATTTTGCAGAAATGTCTTGGGAATGTCAATCGATGCCTTACGGAAACACAAACCAAAATAATTTTATCTGCGTTTGAGAAATCACCCTTTCCTTTGTTTTTAAAGGTGAGAATAAGATTTTTCATGGATATATTATTGACAGAAAATCTGCGTAACGCTGTATCGACGAAAATATGATTAAATTTTCAGCTTATGGTAGAAGAAGCTAAAAAGTGGCGCTCACACGACAATGTTGATGACCTTGTTCTGGCAGAAACGTCACGAGAGGCAATTTCCAATTTTTATGACAGACTGGAGAAAGATCATGGAAAAATGTTTGCATCTCGGGCGCTTGGATATCTTGTCGCAGCGAGGTAATCAAACAAGACCATCAAGTTTGGCGTTGACTTGATGACAGTAGTGTACAATTTTACTTCGTAATAATGTATACTCCGACCTCCTGTGGAATTCAAATTTTGATAATAATAACAAACTGATAAGAGCGCTTGGTTTTTTTAGGATTTCTGTTAAATGTTTTGACTTCGGTTATTACTATTAAATAAAGTTCCATCTTTTGGACTCGACAGATCTGTTCTGTGAATAACTGTTGTATTCCACCTGATTTGTTGTTCATCATTGTTCGAAATGCGTACCATTTTGGGTATCATACTCATATTTATCTAGGGATGGGGTAACAGAAAATGAGTTACAGGATCTTCTTTCTCTCGACGACGAAGTTATGCACGACGTCTACCAGTACTGGTCCCCTCCTTCACAAGACGTAGCTAGGATTCCTGCCTTCACTTGGACCCGACTCTATTATGATCTTGGGGAATATATAGTGCAGAGACAAGCTACAGGACATACTGTATTAGCCCTATATCATCGGTAAGCTGTGAATAATTGGCAAACCATGGACAAAGTTATTGAAAAAGGAGAGTAATGCTCAAATATATAGAACAAATCACTAACATCTGTACCAGTACAATAATTTGACGTTACATTGGTACATTGGCACATAGAGTCCAAGGTGCTCCCGAAGTATGCGAACCAAGATGGCGGACATCGGAACGTAACATGGGTAACAGGTTAGGGTTAGGCGATATTTTTCTCCAATTTTCCTTATTTTAGTCCTATTATCAGTTCGAAGACTAGCCAAGAGCCTCCCGTAGTATTTATACCTAAAATTATGGCCTAACCCTAACCTATAGTACACATATTACATTCCGATGTCCGCCATCTTGGTTCGCATACTTCGGGAGCCCCGAGTACAACTTGCAAAGTATTTCATGCATTATTTTGAAACATTTCAGGCAATTTATAGAAGTCGCAAGACAAAGATATTTGCAAGAAGATGATTCCGTGAAAGTTTATAAAGTTTTAAGTGAATATTTTTCCAACAAGTATGGTGAAGGACAAAAGAAAAGCTTGGCGCTGAAAATGTGGGACAGACCCAAAGAAGTCGACAGGAGAGTTGCAAATCAGGTGAATTTGATGTGACGTACTAGTATGCTTATTTGTGGACACGAAGTAGTCCTATGGCTCGTTTTGCTAAATGAATATCGCCCTTTCTTTGCAAATAATGAGCCAATCAATCTAAAATTCCTTGATAAGGTTCCACTCTAATTTTTTTATATTTTCTTTGCGGCCTATAGCCCCGGTCTTCTCTCCCCGGACAACTCTAAATGCTGTTGTTTTATTTATTTCGTGGGAACAATCTATATAGAATAAGGGGACACTTTATTCCATCACGTCTTCCGCCGATCTCTCCAGCAAACTCGGTGCCCAAACAGGCAACTAACTCCTAACTGAACCAGCACTGATGCGCTATTTTCGTATCCATATATTTGATCATTGCTCTCTTGTTTACTAACTATACTAAAAATAAATCAAAATTTATAGAGAAAATAAGTCATTTGGCATCAGTTTAACCATCGAGAATATGAAACAACCTATAATTTAATAAACATTCACAGCCTCTTCAGTTTTCCAACGCTGTATTCAACGTGAGAAAGATGCGAGAACTTCCTTACTGTCTTCTTCAAGCTGGATTATGGGATGAATTGAGAGAAAATGTTTTGGCAAATTCTCGCTGGTTGAAGACAAAAATTAAAGCATTTTCTATAAAAGGTGAATATTACATTTTGTTCGCGCGATTCTCAATTATGCGCAAAGATTTTCATGACGATTTTCTTTCCTACCGCTATATTCTATTCAAAAATAATAATAATAACTTTTTATATTAATAACAGAAGCGATAGAAGATTTTGATCTTGCTTTGAAACAGCAATCCGATACTGAAACAAGGTTAATCAGAGATGCTATTAAACTTGCTAAACCAACATTGGAATTCCCAGGTAAGAATATAATCAATTCTAAATTTAGAGATATTTTTTTTATGTATGTAGAGGTAGATATTAGAAATAGAAGAAATAGAAAGAGTATGGTATTAAAAACTTTATCCCAATTTGTCCTGACTTTCTCAGCAGCGTATTTCGGTTTTATGTGGATGAAATTCAAAGTGTATAAATATCAATTTGCATTATCAGGATGGACTTATACTGAACACAAAATTTCGTGAAATTCAGTTACGATAAATATCAATGTATCAATAAATAAACGAGGTTGGCAACCGCATAAAATGTTTTCAGTGAACACGAAGTTTTGCTAGATTGTTGTCGTTTCTATTGGGGTGATTAGAGTGGCTGTTTTTATAAAAAAAAAAAATTGCTCCGCAAAATTGTCAGTTTATGGGAGAAGTCTCTTTTGGGCCTCGATATTCTACCTCAAAAAGTTTATATTGTGACATTTCGTTTAGCCAGTCTGCCATCTTTTCGGCAACTCTGGGGCCTCGTCATTACGGTGAATTGTTACGGTGGTGGGACACGATTTGAATTATTCAAATATCAGATAAACGTTATGTTGCACGTCATGTTTACTATGGACCGCATCGTTTCTGTTATTTGTATTGCAGTCAGTCATATGACCCTTGTGTTGGTTGATTAACTTCGAAGTAATATTCAATATTTGTACCGATAAATTATGGTTTCATTAAAATTACATTTGTACCGTTTTATTATAATTGTATTGGACGGCGAAAATCATATTTATATACATCAGAATAATATACATTGTTTCATATTTCATAGATCAGTTATTTTGCTTTAAATGTTATGAATTTATTTATTTATTTAAATCGGTGATGTATTGAATCATACTTATATTTTTTATTTACTGAATTGCAAACAACATCAACTTTAGTGTCAGCAAATGAGACGATCAGCTCTCAAGATCAGGTAACAAGTTCGTAGTTAGGGTTTGCTGATTGCTGACTCCCCGTTCAGTTAATTGGCGGGCAGCGATGCAGCAGGCCTGACCAAGTTCTATGATACTGTCCATATGTTATTCTGACAGCTGGAGTGAGAAATCATCTGTTTGCTGAATTGTTTTGTCGATTAAAATATTTCTCGGATGAATTTCCACAATTTCTTGGAAAGCTAGTCAACAAATGTTATAACTCACTGAAAGATGACAACGATGAAGTCCTCTTGCCATTGAATGGGTATTTTCAACCTCCAGGTATGAGTGGTATTCAACATAATGAGACGGAATAATACTAGAGAGTAAGTATATATCGTCACGCTAATAACGGAATTGCGTAAGTCATTTTTGGCGATTTTGAGTTTTTTATAAAATAGGTATTTATGTAATGCTGCGCTCCTGTCTGTTAACTCAGATTTTATTTTAGGAATTCCGAAACCCATAAAAATGGAGATTTAGTATCCATGTACATTTATGCAATTGTTTCGTCATAATGAGTTATCATTGTTACCGCGGGACTATTGTGACGTCACAAAGACAAAATAACCTCGGCGAAGTGTTTTCGAGTTTTTGCATCTCGGATTCTAGCTTAGCGCGTATTAATATGAATTTTTACTACAGTATAGAAAGACGTGCACTTGTTGGCAAATTATTGACTCTCAATTGCATAACAAAATCATTAGGAAGTTTTTTACGTTTTTCTCAAAACTGCTAAAAATGACTTACGCAATTCGGTTATTAGCGTGACGATATTATAAACTTTGAACTCGATTTAAACTGTTGTTCATATATATGAAATGTTAAAATCTTAAATAGTGGGAAACTCAACGAATAGGTACAGCGAAAATGAATCGCTATGCTCCTAAATGCATAACATCTTTGTCCAGTAATGATAACATGGCAACAACAACGGTGCAACATCGCGTGTATTTATTGCCGCGAAAACTTTCTATGGCGGAGCTTACAAAGGTGTTGGAGTATTTTTGTATTATAGTTATGAAGTACAACAAGTAAACTTACGTACAACGTTTCGGTTATTACGTACATTGAATGGAGTGCAAAATAATTTAATATCAATCTTTGAATGAAAATCTAAGATTTTTCTACAGCACTAAATCGGACCGGAAGCTTGTTCATGCCAACAATCGTGTTAGGCCTGTAGGGTTATCGATGTAAAGTAAAGCGTATTAAAATAGCAGACTTTCTTTATTGGAAATGTTCAATACAGCCGTGATTGTGCAGTATGGTGATATAGATATTCATTGACATATAAAACGGTCGACTATTTTCCGGTACGATCCCACGGGACACAATATTTGGACTGGGAACAAAAGACGGGGCAGTTTGGAAGGTCAATCTCTTCGGGTCAACTGTTAATTATCTCATAGTAATAGCATGGTTCTATTCACTAACCAAGTGATGTAGTATTCGATGAACGTTTACATATCTAACATATTATCTATAAATTTTTAAACAAATGAACCGATACAAAATACTTTAAACACGACGTACGATTATTCTACTACGACACTTTTAGTTACCATGCCGACGAAAATATTATTCGACACCTGAATATCTTTTAAATATCGTTATATATATACGATATGAATTTAATTTTGCCGATTAAAACATTTTTTAAAGGTGGACCACTGCGTACCACGATCACCGGTTTTCAGACTCCAGTAACACAGGTCAAATTTTCTTCCGTGGAAAGTATTTTTGCTGCTGGATCTTCGAATGGTTCTTTGATGGTTTGGGATACAAAAAACGACGAGGTTGTGCACAGGATTGACGCTCATTCAGACGCTGTTCTTTACATTGCTTTTACAGGTAGGTGGTATATGCACAATGGAACACAATGTTCAGCTTTAAAAATTAAGTAAATAAAACATAAAATATTTTGATATTTTATCCAAACTTTTATCCAACAGTATTGATGTTTTATACGACGTTCTCACGCCTCTCACTCGCAATGACGGTTTGCACATAAAACCTTTAATATGAAAGAAGCTATGGTAGCTACTATACGTTTGTAAAAACGGATTTTTTTCAGTTTCGGCGTTGTCCCAATTTGCGAAAATTTTAAACACTGGGTATGAGATGCTGGGCACGTGACTAGGCTATCGCCCCACTGAAGAAATCAATTAGGTTCTCTCTGTTTGAATTTTCACCAAGATCCTCCATTATTATTATCATTGTATTTGTCGCCCTTTGAATAGTATGTATACTAATAATATTTCATTGTTGAGAAACAGACTCTCACTATAATAATTCTGATCATCAAAAAATCGTATTTTACAGAAGTAAAAGGGAACAATAAAGTAGCGACATGCTCAAAAGATAAAATGGTGAAAATGTTTTATTTGGATAATGGAAATCAGTGTTTTGAAGCGATTATGCCACAACTGGAGACAACGATTCATGCTAAACTACATTTGACTGCAAATAAGATTGTTTGCGTGTCAGATCATTTGGTGAGATTTTGTTACTCACTTAATTTTAAAATGCGATAGTAAAAAAATTTCAGCAAACGTAGCATCATTTATTAATTTATTTCGGATTGATTTAGTCGACTAATTTTCACAATCCTGCTGTAATAGATGTTTCCCCAACCGTTCACTCCTGAAAACCAATATTGAATTCAAAAGGTATATCTACTCTCATTTGTAAGTGAAAAGCGGCTACTAACATTTCAATTGCTACGTAGCCGTTGACATCTTGCCGATTAGCAAATTTTACGGAAGTAAACAGAGACGTCGATAGTCGGGGAAACATCATCGAATAGGAAATATTCATAAATTCAAAGAATAAACACTGAGCACTGAAGAACACCAAACATTTGTGTAATTTCAATCAATTAAAATTTTCATTATTTCTGGGAAATTATACGTATACTACATATAAAAAACATAACATGATTTTTTTTTTTTTTTAATTTTTTTGGAACTTGAAATATTTGATTTATCCCTGAATATTAAAAATCAATTGTAAAGTATTAAATGACGTGACCTCTAATTAGTAAACCCCGTGGTATTTATTATTTGTTATAAATGTTATTCAAGTTTTATTGAATGCTATTTCTATACTTTAATCTTCAGTTGCAATGTTGGGATTCAATCACAAAAGAATCGAAATTATTGATCAGTATTGACAATTGTGTTTCTGCTTCTACAAGTTTTATCTCTACCGATCGTAACATGGTCATCGTTGGACAAGAAACCGGCAAATGTGTTGGATTTGACGTTGAGACAGGTTAGATAGTAGACATGCATGTTACTACTGTAGTAACTACCTTCTTGTTTTTCGGTAATAGTGGCTAATAAGAAATAAATTAACGATGACGTAGCAATAAGACATTTGACACAATTTTGACACTCGGACAAATTAAGTAGCATGGTCGTAAACATTGACTCGTTTTCGTAGTTTTGAGTTTTGTTTGTAATTTTCGTGTTATAAGTCATAAATTCAAGTGTAATTCGAATAATATAGCGGTCGTTTTGTATTTGGAAGGGTTTCAGTTTAACTCAAAACAGTCACTAAAAGCCCTTGATAGATTTTAGTCCAAAACTATGTGATGTGGTTGTCAAGCAAGTAGATAAGTATTTGAAATTAAAATGCTCGTTTCTAACACATAAACCAGTTTGTACTCGTAGAAAACTCCCAAAATAGGCATCAAAAATTTTGCGATGGTAAAGTATTGGAAGTATTTCCCCCAGTTTCCCTGGTGGAAATACTCTACAGATTAAATAAGTTTTTAATCCGATGTTTCTTCAAGCCGACGAAAATGGCAGAACGGCTAGGTTAAAAATTAGTACGACATTTCAAGTCGTAGTCATTTTAAGACAAGTCCACATTTTCGAAGCTTGTTTATGGCTAGTCTATTGCTCAACCGGGTACGGGCGGTTGTACGATTTCTCAAAATCATTTGGAAAATACAACGTGTCATAGTATGCACCAATTTCACTTGTCTCTAGGTCAAGAAACAGGATCGATGGCACATCCATCGGACTCATCCACTCCAATATCATCTATAATTGACTTGCAACCTGAAACTAATAATATTCTCGCTGTATGGGAAGATGGCTCTTTATCATCATTGCTTGCCAGAACATTTGAAATCGTAAGCACTACGTCTAGCAAAAACGCTAACGTGATCGATTGTGACCGATCACGTGATGGATTCTCAATATCAATTTCGTTTTCAAATGCAGTGGAAGTTTACATTGTCAAAGATGGTCAAATAAAGGTATATAATTTCAACAGTTGAAGGCAATGAGTACTTTAGTAATACCATATATAATAGGGCCTGAAACGGCAATTATTGGACACAAAATGTACATATGCATCGTGTTGGTAAATTGCTGTTGTTATCTTTTATATTGTTGTTGTTGTGAAAATATTTCTTCTAGCCGCTAAATTTTGCCAAGAGAATCGAAAAAATCAACTTTCGGTACTCCCGTAGTATGTGAACCAATATGATGGACACCGGGACGTGGTATGTGTACCAGGTTAGGGTTAGGCCATAATTTTATTCCAATTTATGGCCCAACCCTAATCAGGTACACACGTACATTCAGGTGTCCGCCATCCTACTGGTTCACAGACTACAAGAGTACCCAATTTTTTTCCTCATTTTATTTCAATGCCAAAATCCTATTTTTTCAGTTAACCCACAGTGTAAATGATCATCATGATGCCATTACAAAGGCTAGATTTGTCGACGAACATACCCTGGCAATTGCTTACGCTACGAAGAAAGTTGTTCTATGGAAGCTAAGAGATGGAAATCAGTCACAAATAATTAATACTTGGGAAGGTACAGGAGCTTCGATCGATCACCTTGAGATTGGGGAACGTGTGGGAGTTACAGCTTCTTCCCAAGTGAGAAATCTATGCTAATTCTAACTTCTGATTGTAAAAAAAAATGCAAAAAATGGTTGTTTTTGAAATCGATTGAAACGATATTAGATTATTCACAAAAATCTTTTATTTTCGGAGATTCTTGTTTCGGCTTCAGAAATGTTAAAACTGGTCAGATTTACACCCACTTTCATATCGATGTGTGTGTGTGGTATGGTAATATATGGCGCTTTAAACAATTTGAGTCTTTTGCGCCAGACAATTTAAATCAAAATTTTGTATATGCCTATAGTACTCTCTTGGTAGATTTCACAAAATTAACAAGAGCAGGGAAAATGCTAGGGTCGCGTAAGATAGCTTTGAGTTGAAATTCAATGCCATAATCGCGGCATTTCATCTTTAGTATGCGTCTTTCATTTCTATATGCACGACAGTTCATTAGAAAATGTTCCACTGTCTCTGGATCATTACAGAAATCGCAAAGTCCATTATTATGACATCCTATTTTATGGAGGTGCCCATTTAAACGGCAATGTCCCGTCTGAAGTCGAAATAAAATTTTGTCCATTATTCGTGGTGACCAAGTGGAATTCTTGATGCTGTCTTCAATTGAGGGGAAAATTGTCTTGTAATGAAACGCTTGGTCACTTTGTATAAAATGTTGATCCCATTTATTAGCGCAGAATTGTCGAATTTGTGATTTGACTTTGTTTTGTGATTGGGATAATCTTTTGTCCACATCGACTTTCGCCGCTGATACCTTTGCTATTTTGTCGGCGACTTCGTTACCCGGAATGCCAACATGTCCTGGAGCCCATAGTAGTGTGATTTTGCATCCTTGTTCCTGTAACTCAAAAAGACAAGTCTGAATATTTGAAGATATATTACTAATTTGATCCGAGTTATTATTTATAGCGTGTATAGCAGACATACAATCCGATATGACAAGTATATTCCCTTTATAGTTATTTTTTGACCATGTAAGGGCACTATATATTGCAAAAACTTCGCAATCAAACGAGGAACAGTTTTTGTCTAGCCTAAAACCCATACGAGAATTATTATATGGAACATAAACCGCAGCACCGCATTTGTCATCAATTTTTGACCCATCGGTATAGATATGCACGTGTGATCGATAGGATTCATTTATATAATTCAAACTTATAGCTTTTGTTTGGTCGGGCGTATACCAAGGAAAAAGTATATTCGATAATGCATCGTCGATATTAATTTCGTCCAAATACCATGGGGGAATTTCTTCGGCTTTAATAATACTAATATCCAATTTGTCAATATCGAAAGTCCTTGCAATCATACCAAATGTACGAAATGCTGGAGAGTTGGGAAATATTTCATGCCATGAGTGTTCGATGACTTCGTGGCAAGGATGGTCAACAAATGTTAGCAGTTTAGTCTTATATAAGAGACATAATTGTAATCGTCGTATACTCAATGGCATCTCATTACAACAAACTTGTAAAGCAATTTTAGGCGTACTCATCATGCCACCTGCAGCGATGCGTAGACTTTGACATTGGATAATTTCGATTTTTCTTATGGCATTTATTGATGCTGAAAAATAGGCTTCCATACCATATTCAATAATGGGTCGAACTAGGGATCTGTACAATGACAAAAGGGGTGATTTGTTAGCTCCCCAGCTAGTGCCAATAAGCAAACGCAGCAGATTAATCCGTTTACTACATTTTTGTACAACATATTCGATATGTCTCTTATAATTTAAGCGCCTATCGAAATAGACTCCGAGGTATCTTACTTCATTCCTGACTGGGAGTATTACACCGTTTATGTGTAGTTGTATTGGTGGTAATTTTCTCTTTCGGGTGAAGAGTACAACTATTGATTTTGTGACCGAGATCTTAAAACCCCATTGATTGCACCAGGACTGAATGCAATCCAACGAGTTCTGAGAGGAAATGATTAAATCTTCAATATTGAGACCAATGTGCCATAGAGCGCTATCGTCTGCAAACAATCCAACATTATCTGATGAAATAGTACTAGGCATATCGTTTATCATTATATTGAATAGCAGTGGACTGAATTTGCTTTATCGAGTCGCCATGATTCCATGTAATTACTTGTGTCACCGACTTGTGTTACGTTAAAATAAGTTTTAACCATTACGTGATCACTTCCCAGTAACTCGTTGGTCACAATTGTATTACATCTATGGGCAACATCAGGAGATGCTATTGTTAAATCCAATAACGACCAATTATTTACTCTGTTATGGGATAAATTTATCCTAGTGGGAACAGAGGTGTTAAGTACTACTAAATCTGTGCTGTCAATAGCTCCAGCAAGAGCTAGTCCTCGTTGATTGTTTGTTGGGCTACCCCACAAGAAATGATGTGAATTAAAATCCCCACAAAAAACTGTTTGTCGTGAAAATTGATCAAAAAATCGTTCGAAGGCATATTGAGAAATTCTAACATCAGGTGGGACGTATACATTGACTATCTTAAGATTTCCCAAACTGACACTTAGAGGTTGTAAAGGTATTTCAACAAAAGATATATTATTTTTTATAACAAATAAGATGCCACCACCTTTACTAATCAATCTATCTTTGCGTACTAGGGTATACCCTGGTATGCTAGGATTATACTTTGGTGTGAGATTGCTTTCTTGGATGGCTATTACGTCAGGTTTCGGGTGTGAAGCACTAATAAAGTTTTTCAATTCACCTAGTTTCCGGTATATACTACGGCAATTCCATTGGATGATAGTTAATTTTACTTTTTGGTTGAATGTTGTTTTATTGCATTTTTAAGGTTGCCAGCGTCGACATCGAATCCAAATTGAGCGCCAGCGGACATCGAGACAATAGCGTAAACATCACATTCTTTTCCACTTTGAGAAACCTCCAGCGTATTTTTTATGACTTCTGCGATAAATGCGAAAAAATGTATTGGGTCCAGAGATATAGGTGCATTCTTATCTTCATTTACTTCTTTCGAATTGGGGCGACTAAATTGGCCTGTAATAGGCGCTTGTTGAGATGACTTGTCTGATGACAATATATCTTTCGACTTTTTAATCATAAGGACAGGTGTACTTCTATGAAAAGGAACTTTACTGGGAAGAGCAGGAAAATCATTTGCCGAAAAATGCGCAGTTACTGAAATAGTTTGCTTAATGTGGTTCTTTGCCTCCTCATACGGTAGTTTAGTACTCGCCATTGTTTTTTGAATCAACCGTTCCCGTTTATATACTGCGCAGCCACCATATGCGGCGCTGTGTTCTTGTCCACAATTACAACATCTTGGAGTTTCGGAATCACATTTATTATATTCGTGGTTTCTACCGCACTTGGCACAGCGAACTTTACATCGACAATTTTTAGCTACATGGCCAAATCTATTGCAATTAAAACAACGAATCGGTGGAGGGTTATACACTCTGGTCCTGAATCGCATATAGCCGATAGTCACGATTGATGGTACAATGCATGTGTTAAAACAAATCAGAACTGATTTACTCTGCACAAACTTGCCTTCGATTTTTCTATTAAGTCTTTTTACAAAGACAACACGTTGTCCAGATAATGCGTCCAACAAACAATTCATTATCGGCCATGTCAATTGGCACATCGCTAATTACTACTCTAGTATTTTGATCATTGTTTACAAACAATTCGGTCTTCACTAGAATGTTAGTTGTGCTATCGCCGATATCATCACATTCCAACAATAGTTTAACTTGCTTTTCGTTTGAACATTCAATTTTCAAATCCCCAGAACCAAGCACACGTACCGATTTTAGTGTTCCAAACTTCTGCACCAAATTTCTATGTATAACTATAGGATTGTACGTTCTCATCTTACGCTGGGTACCCCGTACAACAACGAATGTAGATATAACGTCATTTTCTTGACTTATTGTGTTAATTTTTACTTTACTTTGGGCATTAGAATTACTATCGTCCCCCTTCCTTTTCACTCCGGAAGAAGTTGGCGATTCATCGCCGTCCATCTTATAACATAAAACAGCTTTATCCGTAATAAACGTTCACTCTCCAAAAGAAAATTTGTACTGGATTTCAGTCAATTGCACTATATATGCAGCAATATATACAGATCGAATATAAAGAAACGATCTCACCGTATTAATGTAGTGTTGTATCCAGTTTAATCCACAAAACAGAAGATAGTTTGTATCCAGGTTTATGCTCACAAAGACGTCCGCACTGCGCGACGTCGCGTTGTCGAGTGTGTTCATATCGATGTCATTATTAATATAGCAGAATTTAAATATTTTTCTGCTTTCTAGTACTTAAGTACCGAAATTCACCTATAGAAGGAACACCACTCAAAGATACAATATAGAGTAATTTCAACAAACCAAATTATTTCTGTTTTTGCTCTTATTTGATCAAAATTTACTTAATTCAGATGTTTTATCTTAAACTATGGGATCTACGCACAGAAGATGTTATACCACCGCATCCTAGCTTGCAACTTGAGGAAACAACAAACACACTGAGTTCGGATGGAAAATATATAACTTATGAAAAAGATGGAAAAGTGGTCACACAATGCATTGAAGACGTTAATAATATAAAAGAATCAAATGAAAACATTCAGATTATACCCGGCTTAGACTCTCATGCTGTCAAATCAGTGAAATTCTCTAACCAAGGCCAAAGTGTAATTGTTTTGCAAATGAATGGAAAAGTCATGAAGTTTGGCAATGATATTTCATTCATGAATGAAGATACTAAGGATTTGCCAAATTGTCCTAAAATGGAGGAACAATCAAGTTTTTTTGAGGAAGGAATCCACGTTATCCTAATTTTTATTCCGAAAGATGAAAAATACATTGGAGCTGTCATTAAATCTTCTGACGAAAAGACCGCTTCTAGCATTCTCTTACTAAATGCTGATGATTTGACAATATCCAGACGAATAAGCTTGAGCAAAGCCAAAGAAAATGGCAACGTTACAGCGATACGTGCGATAGAAAATGCTATTATTCTTGGAACTAGTACTGGATGTCTTTTTCTTTACTCTAAAAATAACGAAGGGCAATATCGTGAAAGTGGGGCGTTTTCGAGTCACCAGAATTCTATTACCTGTATAGCTGTGAGCAACAATGATAACCTCCTATTTTCTGGATCAACGGGACGAGTTCGACGAATATGGACGTTGAAGGTAGTATCAATTCAAAAGTTAATAACATATTGAAATTTTTTACTAGACTAGAGTACGGCTCGCACTATTTTTCGGTATTCTATAGTCAATAAAGACGCTTGATTTACATTCATTTTAGAAGACTATAAAAAACTTTAGGATTGAATAACCAATCTTTACTAGTTTTATGTGGTTTTTAATAAATAAACGAATAACTTCAAACGTTTATTGAAAATTGATTTATTTCATACTTTTAACTTTAAACAGAAACATGAAGTTTTCTGATTAATTTAGTTTAATGAAATTTTTGAATATTCCTAAATATTTATGAGCTGAATATAGTTCAAAAATGTCCATTATTCTTCAACAACAATCCTAGTAGCTAATTACCGGAATCGTATATAAACTGATGTTGCAGATGCAGTAAAATTAATTTAACCAATGGTGAAATAATTCATTACACACATTAATAAAAGAGTGTGTACGTTTGTGTGAGTGTTGAAGCCTCTAACATAACTACTTTTCATTTCATGGACCACACTTTGCAGAAACCTAGTCCATTCGTAAATTTAATGAATAAAAGTTCAATTTAAAATTTTATTTTCAATTATGAGTTACCGATTTGAAATGTTAAATTTATGTTTTTATGTGTTGTAGAATGGTATCGCAAAGGTAAAGCATGAACTACGTTTTGAATCATTGCTTGAGAGTGGAGTCACTTGTGCACAATTTTCTCCTGGTGATAATTATCTTTTCACGGGATCAAAGGAACGTTCGATTACTATTTGGGACACGGAAACAGGTTTGGATTAGTGATTTCTGTTATATTGTAGATCAAAAGCAAGTTGAGTTGATATCAACATACAACTTGACTGATATGTGTGATGTGAGCCTTTCAAATGATAGCACTGCTGTCTAATACAGGAAGATTGGTTTTCACGACCTGTGTCCTTTATGAGACTAACTCTTGTCATATTAGTATTTTATGAATCGCGTGTTCAAAGATGCGCTACAGTCTGACATTGCGTGCTTTTTAGCTTGAATATTCTCACTCTTTGACGCTGTTTAAATTGAGTATCGTTATTTAATAGTATTGAAATCTTTTATATTCCAATTTCGTGCATCTAGAATGTCTAGTAACTGCTGGTTAGCTATTACCATACTCGAAAAAACCGGTCATCGCACGATAAGCTGTATTACCGTGCCATTAGGTCATTTTAATAATACTTGCTCCGCCGAGATGAATATGCGATGTTAAAATAGCTCATATTATTAATGGACATGGAATGTACAAATGGATCGTTTCGTTATATGTTGTTGTTAGTATTTTTTTCTTCTCGTTGTTATGGAAAAAATTGCCTTTCTCCTTAACTATCGGACCAATGGCTTTGAAATTCAGTGGTTAAAGATTGTATTTTTCGCTAGAAGTCTAATACTTTCATTTATTTCGAAAATTTCAGTGGACTCTATGGAATTCGTGTGTGATGATGTCGTCAAAATTACAAAATGCGCATGCTGTGGCGGTTCCGCATTCGCATTAGTCGCCAGACGACGTCGTGAAAATTGCGGTACCGGTAGTCTACGGTTACAGATTGCATATCCGTGATACTTTGTTTTGGGATTCGTGCCCATATATTTGAGCATCTCTGTCTTGTTAGAAATAGGAAGAAATATTTTCTAGTGTGCAAAAACTTTTTATTTCAAAATACACACATATCAAAAGCAAAAAACCATGGCGAACTACATTCGCTGCAAATAAATTGAACGAGTGCATTATAAATATCTCAATGAATAGAGTTTTTTGATTTTGACAGTCACTGCCTCATACGAGCGTCGGTTGCTCCTTCAAATTTGTTCAATTTGTCAATTCTTTTCATCAAACCTGTCTTGGTTTTGCTCTTTCGTCGTTCGGATTTCTTTTCATCATTTCTTACTTTCGATGCCTCAATAACAGGTAGCTTGAGCATTCCTTTTTTGATCTATATAAAATTTCATTTCCGTTGTCATGATTAAAAACATAATTATTAAAATTAAAAACATATATTATATTTTTTAACGTTTTTCTGAATTCCAAGTATATTTCTTCCAAATTTTGCTGCATTATTTTGATACATTGGAACACATTTTATGCGGTATGGAAACATATTATTTTGCCACGCTTGCCTGCCGATCATTTAAATCCGGCTCGGTGCCTAGTCAAGGCCTTACCGGTACCGATACGCTACCGTGTCCATCTATTTGAGCATTGTTCTTTTGTCCACATACCTTACTGTTTTTCTCTTTTACGTATCCTGGCATCATGAAGTAAGAAAAACTAAAACTTTCAGTGAAATTCAGAACAGTCATTCCGTCCAAAAATGGGAAGAATGTGCTTTTATTTTTCTTGCTTTTACTTCCACCTTCCTCTTCTGAATCTGACAAGCTGGACAAGTCGGAAAAATTGTAATCTTCGTCGTCGCTCAAGAAAAAATCGTCGATGAATTCCGATGGGATGTCCTCCAACAAGGGATCGATTATTTTCTGTAGATTCATAACAAGCTATTTTTCATATATACAACGCATCATAAATTTTCCCAACCTAGCTCATGCACTTCAAACTACTGCTTCTTAATCTATGTTCATTACAATCGTGAAATACAGGTATTTTACAAACCATAGCCAAAGTATTAATGGATATTTTCAACAAATATATATTATATTCCTTACAACTACCGCAACTGCCTCTGAATAGTGAGTGGCCCACATCATTTTCTAATTATCAGACTGCTACCAACTTTCTATTCAAAGACGAAATAATTCACCTGATCATTTAACACTTTTAATGTGTCGCAGTTATTTTACGAATACCATTATTACCATTCTGTTTACGGGAGACCTGGGTTACTGGAAAATATACCGATTATTCAATAAAAATACATTAAAACAAAAAAACACCTCTTTTGTATCAGCCTGTGGTATTTCATCTTCAGTGCTTGTCAGTAAATCATCAACTTTCATTTTTGACGCAGCTCCTTTGCGTGCTTTTCGTCTCGGTTTTGGCACCTGTATTTCACCCGTGTGTGCTTTCATTACCGGTATTTTTGCCTCAGTATTTTGTTGTTCCAGAGCTGCTTGTTCCATCGCTGTCAAAGCGGCTGCACTCGTCTTAGTAACTCCCAAAGTTAAATTGTCCGGTTCTGTACCAGATCGTATACTGTGATGAGCTGCATCCTGGTATTTTGCTTTAACTTCGTCCTTTTCTTTCCTCACTTTCTTCTGAATTTCCCTTTGTCTTGCGAATGTCGAAGGAGTTGTAGCTTTCGAACCTGGAAAGTTGGAAAATTGAATCAAAAAAGCTTTTGTAAGCCAATTGGAGCCTCTACAACTTATGTTAATACATACTGTTCTATACATAACCCACCTTCTCCGAGCATTGTACTTCTTTTCTTTGAAGGATCAAAATTTCTGGCGCTAGTTCGATTCCCAACTCCAGTCTGTGAACTTGTTACTTTGTTTGGTTGTCCTGTACTATACGAACTCGAGTCGTAATTCTGCAATAAACACACCAGCGATTTGTATATATAGCCACCTCATGGTCTTCAACACCACCATTCTTTACTAACTGCCCTAATTTAAACGCTATAAATTACATACTATAATATTTCTCGTATTAAAAATTTATATACCTGAAATTTTGTGTTTGATATTACTGTAGATTCTCGTCTTTGACTCATTGTAACTGGTCTCGGAGTAATTTGAGTGGTTTCTCCTTGGCCTTTGGCCGCTGAGTATACGAAGCGTTAAAAGTTCAAATTTGAAAATTCTCATAATAATAACAAGAGAGTAAAGGCGATTTTAACACCGACTACTCCAAGTTCTGTCCAGTGAATAATTCAAATTTACCAGTCTATTTTAAACTCTTTACATTTATCTGACTACAGATTTTGTGCAGAATAAGTCAAAGATAGGTAGGTACAATCAGAATTTCGTTACCCGAAGCGCTATCCGCGAGTGATCCCGGTTTTGTCGTGGGTTTTCCTGTTCTGTTTTTCACTGTGTAATTTATAACGTCTTGATTTCTGGGAAGAAGATTCTTGGATCTCTTCTGGAAGAGTTCTCTTTCACTGACGCTATCTATTTCGCGAAACGATACGACGCTGGGGGTGCGTCCAAAACTGTTATTAGAGAATCAATATCAAAGTTTTCATTTGCGTTGTGCTAGTATAAAGTATGTTTGATTGCCCACAACATTTCATATGGAAAAATAGCGAATTACGAGACTTTTTAAAAAGGAAAAATGAAATTAATAATTTGATTTATGAATTTTTCAAAGATATATTCATCACGAAAACTTAGCTTTTGAACGAAAATGGGAGTAGACCAGTTGAACAATTAAGTGGTAAATTTATGCCGAAGTGTGGAATTAGGGCTCTCACCAAATCAAATTCTTATTTAATATGCTTATGATGCCGTCATGTTCAGCATTTTCGTATTGAATCAATGTGAATTTGTCTTTTCTGTACATACATAAGAATAACGAATACCACACTATATACACAATACCTTCTGTCTGATTCCATATTTCGCAAAGAATTTGAACTTGGGGATTCATTGTTAATATTCCTTGATGATCTGCCTGTTGGATCTACTGCAGGAGCTGGTGTACCAGAAGGTTGTAACTGTTGTGGCAAAAGAAGAAAAATAATTAGTAAAATTCAAAAAAAAGCAATAGCAACACAATATTTACGGAATACTAATCCGCCAATTTTTCTGTACTATGTGTACAAAAAAAAACTAGCATTGACCGATCGACAGGTACATTCCAGTGTTGCAGAAATATTGTTGATATGAAATTAATTACACTGTTTTGTGCAACTAGCATACTCTGATAATAAAATTTTTTGGTTGTTGCAAAGCTGCTGAACAGTTAATCATCACATGTTTGTTGATGTGGATGTAGGTAGCAAATCATATCAAGGCTGTCTCACTTTACTTGGCATGGACCCAATTATGTTATAAATGAGAGAAATATGAAAAGATTATGTAGATATCTAGACTTTGATTTTGAAAATTCATATTGATATGCATCTTCCAAAAAATCTGATTCAATTATTAATTTTGAACGCCGCAGAACATTTTGCCTCTATGCACATATTGTTCCTCATGTATGATCGATATTCAACGATACTGTTTTACGTGCTCACTGTCAAGTCTTCGATGTTCAATTCATCGTCAGTATCAGCTACATGCGAATCTTCATGCGAATAAATGCTAGAATCCGTTTCAAAGTCCGAAAATGTTTCATAAACAATTTTATGAAAGCCACCAGATCTCGGCCATATTCGAAGTTTACCTAGAAAATTGAATATTAGCTTCAACCTTTTTTTAAACCCCAGTATTGATGTTGTTAGACAAAATGAATAAGTCATTTTAACAATTCTAGCCACCTACATATAAATTCTAGTTATTTTACTTATTTTAGGCTTCAGAAAAAACACAAAAAATATAGGCGTTTTATACCTTTTTTGGATAACAGGATGCGGAATTTGTTTTTAGGCTGTAATGCCCCTTCTTCATCTATTTGCCCGCCAATATAGACCGTCAAAATTCCAGGTTTTCGATACGATTCGTCTATTTCCTCATACTGAAGAAACTTTGCAGGTAATTCGGCAAGTTTACGATCCAAAACAAATTTCCATTCGCATTTTTGGCCCGTGTTTGTATGTACAAACTCTGGAAACGCCTTTTTGGTTTTGACAAAAATTTCACCGACGTTTTCAAATTTTTCATTTTCAATTCCTGTGTGATTTTTCTTCCATTGGTATATAATTCCGGTGTCTGTTACACACGATGCTGGTAAAAATACGTCTTGCCTCATTCTCCCAGAAAAAAAGAATTGTCTATTTTTACATAGCGCCAGCAGTCCTGTACTAAATATCGTAGTAAAATCAATCGGTTGACCGCTAGCTAAACAAAACAATTTCTTTTTGGAATGTCGTGAGCAAGAAAATGTATTCTCTTCGTAAATAGGAATAATTTGTGCGTTTTTTGATTTTCTTTTTCCTCTGTATGCGCCATGAAATGTGGGTGAAAATAGAATCGAATTTCGTTCCCTTGTTGTTGGAATAAAATTGAAACTTCCTGAGATGGTCTTGCCACTTTGTGAAGTCATCAACACGGGACTGAAATAGTTCGCTGGTGGTTCTAGAGCTGAATGGAAAGATTGTTCGTTATCACCTGATTTATTGAACATGAGGTGTATCTCAATCGTTTTGAAAAATTCTTTTTCTTGTTTTTGTTTGGACCCCAATCGATCGATTTCAATTTTTAGTACTTTAATATGAACGATACAACTACTATCATATATATATATATTTTCGCCTATGTTCATGTCCTGTGGTGCTCAACGACTTACTCGAATTTTTATTTTTATTTTAGCATTGCGCCAGGCCAGTCGGCGCCATTTTTTTAGAAAACTTAGTGATTAGATGAAGCTTTACAGTGTATTCCTACAGTAGTGGGACAGATTTACCAGCAGATCCTCTCATAGAATACTGCTATACTGTGGGTTATTATTTCTTCTTGTCATTTTCAAAATCTAATCTAAAATTTTTCTAATCATTTTTCAAAAATTTAAACGAAACATTGGTTGTAAATCATTTAAATGTAGTCTTGATTGTAAATCATTAAAACCAACCGACCTTTACTCGATAGAATTCGAAATTCCCCGTCTTCTTCGTGTTCATTGATTGAATTTAAAACGTCCGCGACGGAGGAATCATCAGTGAAGCATTCATCAGAAAGTAATTTGATAATATGTCGAGCTTCCTGGTTGCCCAGATGTACAAGATGATCTTGGGCCAGTGTAGCTTGCTTGATAAATAAGGATATTTGATTATGTTTTACTTTTTCAAGTTCAAGAATACGCTTGGCCCAATTTTGAAAGGTTCTCAAAATTCTACTTTTATAGATTAGAAATTGAAAAGAGATCAAAAATATTTGACGCAACTAATATACTACTGGAAAATTTTAACTATTAGAAAATTTTAACTATAAATACCTCCACACAACAAGAAGGTGCATCTTTATTTCCTTTTCTCCAAGAATTCAAACAACATTGACAATGGAATAAACCTCTCATTGAAAATGAATATTCACGGCTTTCTCCAATTTTCATACTCGTGATTATTGCCTGAACAGTTTCAGAACAGTATTTTCACATTGGTCTAAAAAAAACTCACTATCCGGATAATTTAAATTCGGCTTCTGTAGTATCAACTATTGTTATTATTGGACAATCCATACGGAAGTGTACATATGGATCGTTTTGGTATTATATATATTGTTGTTACTTATTGATCTTGTCGTTACTTATCGATGTCGTTACTTATCGATCTTGATCGGTAAGTATGTTGATAGGTATTTGTCTGTTTGTTTGTTAGATACACGCGATATCTCACGAAAGCGAGGTTGAATTTGCTCTAAATTTTACATTTGCAATCATCATATCTCGGACCAGAAGCTTATTGATTTTGGATGAATTATGTCGTATAATTAGCGAGTTATTAATTAATTAGTGATGGGACAGCGGTGTCGCTATCGAGTCAGACCAAGGATACACGCCGCTAGATCGATAAGTCGGCGATCTCTGATCGTTATCTCGTTGTTCATGTCAGTCATTCTCCCGTCTTGTTATTGTAAAGAAAATTACTTTTTTCATTACCTATACCGGACCAATTGCTTTGAAATTTTCAGTAGTGAAAGATTGTATATTTCGCTAGAGGGCTATTACTTTATTTCTTAATATAAATAAAATAAGAAAGCTATAAGAGAAGTACAATCATACTTCAATATGTCGTTACCTGGACGTGAATAAACGAACAAGTTGCATTTAGCCGCACCGACGTTTGCCAGTTATGCTAAGAATATTACCACTTATATCTATTGGAGTACGTACGTATTCAATGTAGTATATATACTAGACTAGATCAACATGACCACATGAAATTTTGATTTTTTTAATATAGTAATATTAGTAAAAATAATACAAGGTCATCTACCTCGACTATCACATCTTTCGTATACAATTCCAATATGCTCCGTATTGTCTTCGGAATATTTTTATCGTTTTCATCAACGCGAAAGCTGTCACTGGATAAAACACAAACATACAACTCCATCAACTGCCATTAATTGAAGAATTAAAATTATAACACATCGCAATAAATAATATAAATTTCACCTTTCTTTTTGAGTTTCGACGCCCATATCCCCTTTATCAAATGACGAGAAGTGAGTGATCGTTGGTATTTCCTGAAGTGAGACGAAAAACATTATCAAGTGCCAACAAACCATTGAGATTACCTACGAATTTAGGTCGTGTTTCTGTTTGCTCTCATCCTTGCCTATCGACATATGGTAGCATTGAATCCTTTTAGAATGCGCCTATTTATGCAATGCGTTTTCGAATTTAAGAGGTAGAATCTACTGCGGTAGTAATGGGGTAAAGTTAGGTGAGAACTGTAGTCTATCTAATAGACAGAGAATGGTCTTTAGAAGGTCATTCATTCAACTGCAATGTTATTTAACTCACCCGATCATGCGGTTTGCCTTCGATACACCCTGACATCTTTCCTTTCGTGTGAATTGTCGCAAAATGAAATAGAAATTGTGTAAAAATTAGGAATTCAATTGTGACGTCATTATAGCAAGATTTCTTAAATCATCAATTGTATTGCGGATTCATTACGTCACAATAAATGTTACACTTCCTATTTGGAAAATGCAGCGTATGTTCACTGTTTTGTTTTTTGTACTTTTTTTGCGTTTTTGTGGCTTTTGCTAATATGCACAGGAAACAATTACGTAGAAATAACTTCAGTTGTTTATTTCTATTTCAGGAGAACTTCTTGGGGCTCACTATGTGTATGCACCAGTGCTTGACCTTGTTATAACCACCGACAGAAGACTGGTATTCACATCAGAGTTAGGATATATAGCGATGGCGAAATTCCGACCTCCGAATGAAAGTAGACGTTCATATGTAAAATCAAGCAAAAGTCATTTGTCAAACAGATCGTCCACATGCATTTTAATGTAATACTGCAAATTTTCTTCATATATACATAAACTATAGCATAGCGTACACTGTGAAATATGTAGATTACAAATATTTATGTAAATTCTAATGTAATACCACCAAACGTAGTTGCATGAAATGTAACATGCTGAATTCACGGAGATTCGTTTTTATGTACACTGTGAAAAATGTAGTTAATTTGTGCTGTTTTATTTGTAACAAAAGTAGAAAAACATGCTAAATTTTAAGCAGGGTTAAAAGTAAATCACGCATTCTTTTCAGTAGCATATTATTCAAACTTGGTCAGAGTCTCATTCGAAGAGAATATGTCGAACACAGAATAAAAGAGATGAATTATTCTCAGAGACTAAGTCTAGATTCTAGAATATATATGCTAGAAAATAATCTGGGTAAATTGCAGAATGACCAATGGCTATTTTGCGTAATTCGTGATCAACCAGCGCCACGACGTCGGAGAAATGTTTAATCAAGTCCGTTCCATACGACTTCAAGCTGTTTTGGTTCATAATTTCGACTGGCGGGTTTTACCTTTGAAATTTAAACGCTGGTGCCAAGTCTAACATCAGCAAAAATCAAACTTGCATCACCAGAGATATATTCAACAAACCCTGGAAGTTAGCTTAATTTTATTTTTAATTTATTTCACTTATAATAATATCCTAAAAAATATTTTCGAGCAAATAAACAGTGTTTTATACGATTTAACTTACATCGTATCTCGTAACAAATTTAGAGCAAAGAATACTAGTTTGAATGCTTAGGCATCCCCCTGGTTTGACGATTGAAGATTTCTGGCACAATTTTAGAAGTATAAAACGTGGATTGTAGAACATAATGCTGGGAATAAAAATGATAATGGATACTGTGTCTCAAGTATGCAAGTAAATTAAAGATTATTGAACAAGAAGTGTACAGACGGATCGTTTTGTTATATGTTGTTATTTATCTTGTTCGTATTTCTTCTTATTATTGTGGTAAATCGCTTTTCTCATTAACTACTGGACCAATTGCTTAGAATTTTTCAGGGGTTAGAGATTTTATCTTGCTCTAGAAAGCTAATATTTTACGTTTCAAAAACTGTGGACTATGGGGGTTGTTTTTGTGTGCCATGGCGTCGCCAAAATTTAAAATGGCGCACCTTGTGTACGAGTTTGCGTTAGTCTATTTGATTGTCAGCCCAAGTCGTGGAGACTACTGTACTGGTAGTAGGGCTATACTGTGACAGATTGCATAACTGCACTACGAAAAATAATCACAATCGACCTACCACCAGTTACAGATTGGGGTTTGAGAAAAGCAGGGAGTCGAAATTCCGATATTGACATTACCTTCTTCGGATTGAAAGGTAATTTACCAGGAGGTAATTTATATGCGGAAGGTTTGCTGGACCCTTCCCATAGTAGTCCACCATCAAAGTTCACGGACCAGAGAGTGTGGGCCGCCATACTCTCAGTCGTGATATATATAATATATATATGAAATCCTATCCCATATTTTGATGGTACTGAAAAAAGCTGCGGTAGATGGAGGGTGACTAGTCTCCCAATCAATGGAAATATTTTCATTATTGAAATCTTGTCTAATACGAACACAGCATGCAATTTGAGTTACACTGATCTATCGTAGCGTTGTTGGACGCCGATGTCCAGTAGGGCAATAATGAGGTGTGCTCTATACCTAAAATGAAGACAGCGATATCGTGAATATTAACAATAGGATATATTCAATTCAAGCTGAATACCTGAAAACTATTTGTTTGAGAATTTGATCACTATTCCCGCCATATAAAATGCATTTATTGCAAGTAGCTAGAAGTTCCGGCCAAAGAAGTTCGATATATATATTGTTTAACTATTCAGTTGTAAAACTATAAATAAGATTGTGATTCTCCAACTCGGAGGAGTTTGACAAGTCTACCTCAGCCCCGACCCTGAAACTGCTAAACTCAAACTCCACAATCCTCAGCCGAGAAGAACGAACATAAGGTAATTCCAGAATTATTACAAGTATCAGGAGTAGACTTTGCAAGCAGACCAGTGTCATAATATTTACAAAACAGATCCATCCATTCATTTTAAAATGACTGGTGACATTAAGATTCATACAAATAAAATAAATTATGAGGTAATTCTTAATTTACAGAGTGCATGTATAGTGACATGTATTGATGTAGTCAGTGCGAATGAATTGAAGAGAAATTTTATCAAAAAAATTCACGCAAAATTATAGTAATATATATATATATAAAGTAAATGTAGATTGCATAAATAGGCATTATTATATAAATATTGCGAAACTGTCACTCACTGGGATAAAGTAATGAGTAAAAATGAGTAAGTTAAAATGTCGCATTATATAAGATTTGTCGCAGAGGACATATTTATCGTATCACAAATATATAAAAAAAACATTGATTTTATGTCCTGAAGCGGCAGAATTGAATCGTGGTTGTAATAATAGTCCACTTACATGACACAGGTAATGTTGTTTGAACAGAGAATTTCATATTTGATAAAACATAATAAAATTATATTTGCTCACCCATAAAATTTGAATGTCAAAAATATAAAATGCACATGAGGGTCAATTAATAGAAAAAAAATTTTGAAACTGGTATAACACAAGATGGCACAAATAATTAACCACAATACAGCAGTAAACATACACGGGAATCGGTTATCTGATCAATGAGATGATTCAAATCAAGTTCCACTTCCGTAGTCTTTCTGATCAGGTTAGCAGAAAGGTGTAACAATACGTGCAAAATGATGAAAATTTTCGGCTCCAAGAATATTTGAAATAGAACAAATTCACTTCTTCCATATTTGATATTGAACATTTGAAATCGATTGAGTTATTGAATGCGAACCCAAAAGATTCTCTACACTTCGTGCGAAAAAACGACTATGATGGAATCGATAAATTGTAGAAAAATAAAATTAATCTAAATGTATTATTCAGTAGACAGAAATAAAAATGATAAATGCTAAGTTATCATTGTGTTGCCTCACTGCCGTAGGATAAAACTGATAAAATTGATGAAAGAGTGAAGTTTGGACAAAATCGAGAATATAGGATTATTCGTGATGATTCTCACACTAACAGAACAAATTTTGCTTTGACAATGAAAACCTGACTCAAATCTGATTGCTATTGTACTCGATAGAACCTTCAAATGTTCTTTAAATGACGTAATATATTCTTTTAGTTAAAATGTTTCCATATAATTTGACAGATACAGTAAAAAGTCTGCTGTCGTCTGCCTCCTGTTTTTTTATAAAATTCCTTTTGCAATTAATGCATCACGCAGTTTACCAGCATGGTCTGGATCAAGATATCCATTGCTGAAATATATAAGATTGCTAAGGATGATATAACGGTAGATCTATATGACTTTTAATCACACTGCGCAGAGAACCTGATGTTTAGTCATGAAATTCTCAAGCCAGTGCTCGTCAATTCTTTTTGAAATCCTTTTAACTTTTACTCAAGGTCTGATGCACCCAATCAATCCTACATTGATTGGTAAAAACTAATCCTGTGCGGAAGGATTGATTGCGGCACTCGTCGAAATCGCAGGATAGTTAACGAATAATTGGTTGAATATTCTTTTAGGGAAATATTAGTACTGTTAATTTTTGTATTGTCTCTGAGGACATGATTATCGTATTGCAAATGTGTATAAGACGTTTATTTTATGGGTTCCGAAGCAGGATTGTGTGGAGACAGCAGTAACCTGTAGTGGTAGTTTTAAACATTCGTTAGGTATCCACTCATTGACCGTCGTATTATATATATATATATATGTTCTGTACATCGTTCGTGCGATACAATAATTCAAAGATTTGTAGTATTTGCCGACTAAGTCCTTTTTATGAATTGCCTCCTATATATATATATATAATTTGATGATCCGACAACTGTAAAGAACCATATTGACGAAAATGGTATAGAATAGTACGACAATGAAACGCACCAAAGTATGACGACAGAACAATGATGGAGACCAGAGCACGAACGACCTGAACTATTTTAAACGAACAACGAACGATGAATCAGTTTGTTTTGTATTACGCAGGTTTATCTTCTCATGGGGCACTTTTCACACTCCTATTATGATTAACGTATGGTAGTTTTTCTTTTCTTCTGTGGCGTTTACAATTTAGATTTTCAAAAATTGCAAGAAAAAAGACTTTCAGTGATTACTTGGGTACCAACTATAATTATTATGACCAATTGATCATGAGGTGAGGGTTAATGTATAAGTTCAGAAAAGTTCTTGTGGCTGATATATACAACTTTTCGATTGAATAGATTCTATTAGCACTGAAATACTCTGAAAAGATGAATCAATAGAATCACAATTTTTACCATTTATAGCATCGTCAAAGCGCGGTACATGATTGAGCCAGTTAACGTATTGTTGAATATGATTACACAACGAAAAAAACTGACCATAATACCTAACCTGACCTGTTTTGTACTTCAAATTGAATCGGCGACGTTCCGAGACGTTTAAAGAGCTAAATATTGCCAAAAAAAGCGATAAAAATCGTGAAAATTAATATCGATAGAGAAGTACGATTTGCTGATATTAGAAATCCAATCGCATTATTATTGTTTATACGCATGAAATGTAAAATTCCTACTTGTTGTCATAATTTAATGTCTGTACCGTTGGTAATTTTGTTTTTCATTGCACCGTACCTTGCATCCATAAAAGTGATTACATCGTGATTCCCGTAACTCTTCGCTCACTGCGCCCCTGCACACCTGATGTTGAATGCCAATAACCCAGAGAACAAGCCGTGGTGCGTCATAGGAGTTTGCCATGTTATTGGCTTTTCTCTCCTCGGAAATAAATATGAAAATCACATACCCAGTTCGAGTTGATAACTGAACGACAGGTCGTGGTTCGTCATATTATTCACCCAGAAAGGTTATTATTATGTTAATGTTTGATACAGATTTGTGTTCGCCCTTAAAGGCCGTAAAAGCGAGTACAAGCTAATATTAGCTTCCCATTTTACGTGGCCACAAACGATAACGATAAGAATATTTGATTATGCCACCACGGTTTTTTTGAATGACGTAAATTTAAAATGACTAACAACAGAGCGACACAATTGTGATTTTTAAATTATTCGACTGAACAACTTACTCATATGGACCTCTGTGTTTGTCAGTCTTATGAGGAATTTCGTCATTCCATATTATTTCTCCTCTGTTGCTTCCAATTATTTTAATCTTGAAAAGCAATCCTTTATTAAACGATTCTCTCAGAAATCTCGTAAAGTAGCATCCAGGCACATATTCAGTAAATTTCTTTGCTTTATATGAAACACCCTGCAAAAATAGACATAATAAATCATTCAATTCTTACCTCCTATGATTTGTTAAAACTCATACAAGGCGCCTGTAAAAATTTGCAAACTCAAATAAATTTAAAAATTCCGCACAAACGGTTGTGGTGTGTTATATCTACTCCAAACAAAGACTCAAACAACTATTCACTAATAAACAGACAACTATTTTAATTTTAAGGATCAAAATCAACTTTGCCTACCTAAGATTGATACCTTGGGTCGTATGCACGGGGGTTGAACCAAATTCCCCTCTACCCGGGACACCAAATAAGTGGAGTCTAATGCCAAAACCATTTTCAAATGCTAGTGTCTCTAGCATCCAGCGTATCAGTGAACAGATTGGCACAGGCACACAATTAACAATAATTAATTGATTAATTAATAAAAATGCTGATATACGACAAAAAGCTCGTGTCGGACATTATTAAGAAAGCAATAGTAAGCTCTGTAGTACAAGATATCTGATCAGAATATTATTGCTTTTTGGGGATCTGTAATAGTTCGGGGTTTATTTCTCTGTTCCTTTCCCCCTCG